AGATGAAGATCGCACATGTCCACTGAGAGAGCTTCAGTGATTAGGGTTAACCCTGTGATAAGGGTTAACACTGTGAGCCTACATCTCAGCTATTTTTTTGTTTTTTAATTCCTTGAAAGAACAAATCTGGTGGTTTGGATGATGGTGCCCTCCCCCTATAAGCTCCTATACTTAAATGCTTGGTACCTAGTTGATAGAAATTTGGTAAGGTGTAGAAGGTGTGGCCTTGATATAGGAGGTGTGTCACTGGGGGCATGGGCTTTGAGATTTCAAAAGCCTATACTGTTCCTAGTTATTTCTCTCCTTCACACTTGTAAATAGGATGTAGACCGTCAGCTACTGTCCTAGCTCTATGTCTGCCTGCCTGCTGCCATGCTCCCCACCTCAGCGATAATGAACTAACCCTCTGAAACCGTGAGCAAGCCCTAATTACATTTTTTTAAACTTGCTTTGGTCATGGTGTTTCTTCACGCCAATAGGAAAGTAGCCAAGACAGTAAACTATGCTTTTTTATCTCCCACCAGCTTTAATGACTAGCCCTGCCACTGTAATGCATGAGTAGTCAGTGTATCAGAGTGGAATGTAGAAGATTTAATTGCATAGAAGTCTCTGAGCCAGCCTCCAAAGCAGCATCCTTGTCATTGGTACCCAAATGTGCAGAGCTTGCCTGAATAAAAGTAATGGAAATGTCATTTGATTGGGTACATGTTGTTGAAGCTATTGGAACATTTGCTCTTAGACTCTGTTTTTAAAATTCACTTAGGGTGCTGTGTCTGCATGGTTTCAGGGAATGAAGAAAAGACACAGACAAATTTAAATCAGGTGGACTGGGCGTTCTGATGGAGAAACTGCAGCACCTGGGAAGCTCAGCGCAGTTACTGTATACAGTTGAACAAGGAGGCAGAGATTACTGCATACAAACATAGAGGCAGGATTTATGGTATACAGCTGAATTGAGGAAGTAGGTTTAGCTAATCTTGTAAAGGTCCTCTCTGTAGAGGATAGTCTTTAGGCCATGAACATGGGGGTGTAGGGGAAACTAGCTTGGGTATTTTCTGCACATTATCAACACTATCAATACACTTGAACCAGGAGAGAAAGCTTTGCTATTTCCCGTGGATCTAAAGCATTGGTGTCCTTGACATGGCTGTTCTGGTGCTTTTGTTGTTTTGGTTTCTGTTGAAGACAGGGTTTTATGTAGTCAAGGATAGCCTTGAACTCCTGAGCCTTCTGTACCTACTTCCTAAGTGCAGACTTAAAGGTGTGTGCCCTTCCTGGTTTGGTAACAGTCTTGATCCAGGTTCTCTGCATTGTTTCCTGTGGCAGCTATATCATTTTGTATTATCCTTGCAACATACAAGAATATATTGGCTCTTCCATGTCCTGTATCCTCTTCAGTACTGTGTCTGTACCCATCCTTCTGCCTGTGTCTGCCTAGGGGATTATAGGCACATGCTCCCAGTTTATGGAGTGGTGGAGGCTGAATCTTAAGTCTGCGTGCATGCAGAATAATCACTTCACCAACTGAACCACATCCCCTGCAGGTTTTCAAAGTATTTGCAGACTACAGCCCTGCCCTGTAGTTGAGATGGATGTGCTTGCTGAGAGCAGTCTGTTGTTCAAGAACTTGACACAGAAGACTTAGTAGGATTAGCCAGTGAGAGTCACTGGTAGCGAGTGATTAAACTTGACCTCTGCTCTTGGCCTAGTATGTGTTTGTCTTGGTCCTGTAGTTAAAGAATAGGGCAGGTGGTGAAGATGTGCTTTTGATTTCTCAGAGCCTTGTGAGCTTTCCTCTGCTGAAAATTTGAGAGGCTCTTTGTAGAGAGGGGCAGGGAATGCTGAGTTAGTTTCTGCTCGAAGGTATAGTAGAATTTACATGTGGCTCTGACTGATTTTCCAAGTAACTAAGATGGCTCAGCTTAGAAGACAGTTTTAGCACCTAAGCATGACCCTTTGCTTAGAACCCTGGCTGAGAATGAGTGGGCCTGTGCTTAGTACAGGGACAGAGCACACATACTAGGCTTCTTAATTTGGCCAAACATGAGGAAGGGAAGGTTAGATGGGGTAGACACAATTTTAAAAGTAACAGAGGATTATTAAAAAACAGAATGCAGCTCTATATGAATATTTTGTTGGTTACAAATGAAGTATTATATAAAATATAAATTATACAGATACTTACATATTTAAAATTAAGGCTCAAAGAAATTTGGGGTGTACAGATATTTTGTTGTTTGTTACTACTGTCATTCTTGTGCTCCATAAAATCTGACTCTGTGTACTATGTATAATGAAAGATTGCTCATTAGCAGACCACTCTCTTATCGATGACATGTTTCTTTAATGTGGTCAGTGAGAACCAAAACTTTTCAGTCTTGTAAAAGAACTACTATTGTTTAATTGAAGTTTTTTTTAACAAAATTTGCTTTAACATTCAAATAATTTTTTGCGTGAAAGTGCCGTGGTACATGTGGAAGTCAGAGGACAAAGCTGTAGAATGGGTCCCCTTCTACCTTTAAGTGGCTTCTGGGGATTGAGCTCCTCAGGCAAGGCATCAGACTCAGAAGTGCTTTTACTTGTTGGATGATCTTGCCAGCACACAATTTTTTTGTTTGTGTTTGTTTTGTTTTTGAGATAAGGTATATCTATATAGTCCTGACTGTCCTACAACTCACTATGTAGACCAGGCTGACCTCAAACTCATAGAGATCCACTTGCTTCTGCCTCCTGAGTGCTTGAAGTAAAGGTATATGCCACTGCACCTAGCTCAATAGTTTCAAGACATTGTTTTAAGAGTAGAAAAGTTATATTTCTAAGTTCTGACCATAGTGACTTCATCTATTTTTCTTTTTTTAAAAATGTGTTTCTACATTAAGAATTACTTGGGGATCGAAATAGCATTTGAAATCTCTTTGATTACAAAAATATTTGAATTACAAACAAGAAACTGAGTTACCTTAGTTCTTTACATCATCTTGATATGGTCTAGATTTACATGTACAAGTTCCCCTCACAGTATCACGCAATCTCTGTACTACATATACACACATCACACCATTTTAGGTCATACAGTAGTTAATTATGTTTCATTACTGACCTTTCACATAATAAAAATTAATAAAACAGCACTAAAGCTAGAACAAGATGAATAGGTTGGTTCTCTGTTTCATGATGTATATAGAGCCTTTGTTTCTTTTCCTAAATAATCTGTTCTGAGCCCAGAAGATCCCTGAGCTGCTTTACTGTGACTTTCCAAAGCATGTAAAAGAGAATATCCAGTAGACTATTTGTGGAATAAATAATAATGTCATCAGTAGATCTTTCAGTTTGTTTTTCTAACGGTAACCAGCGGTTCTGCTAGTGTGTTGTGCTGACTGTAGCTGGTGCTTTGGGGAGATGAATTCACTTTGCATTGATGACCCTGCTTTTTCAGGGGTTTCATTCTTTCTGTCCACAAGGGGGCAGATAAAGGAAGAGGGAACTGTGAAATGAGCCTGTTGGGTTTCACTTTTGCTAGTCAGAATTGCAGGAGTTTAGGAATGACTTCAGAAAGAAGCAGTGACTTCCTTTCTTAAGACAACTCAATGCCCTCTCCACCTACCTTCAGGGACCAAAAGAAAAGAAAATTGTTTGTTTTGTTTTCCAAGACAGGGTTTCTCTGTGTTGCCCTGGCAGTCCTACAACTCTCTCTGTAGACTATGCTGGCTTTGAGCTCAGATCCCCTGGCCTCTGCTGGATTAAAGGCATGCACCACTACTGCTTGATTGACAAAAAGACATTCTTACAAACAGCCATCTTTTAACGAGTAGCTACCAAAGCCTTGTTACAGCCTTCAATTTTCTCTGCAAATAATTTTTGCAGAGTGTCATCTTAGATGCCTATATCCAGATTTCTCATTGAATGAGAATTATGCCTAATTCAGGCTTTGTTTCCCAGTGCAAGGCAGCCTCTCATTTCTTAAAGCTGCAGTCAATATGGCCATACAATTCATCAGTACCTAAAAGTGTATGTGTATATATATATATATATATATATATATGATGGTTAATCTATTTACAAAAAAGTTATTCTATTTGAAGCATATTTGATATTGAATACCTCAACATTTTATATACTGTTTGAGTCTATAGGAAAGCTTGTTTACTCATTTTGTGTGTGTATGTGTGTGTTCTCATGTATATTGGTGTATCTGTGTATGTTTGTGTAGAGAACAATTCAGAAGTCATTCCTTGGGGGCTGTCCATATTGTTTTTTGAGACGGTGCTCTCATTGGCCTGGAGCTTACCAAATAGGCTATCTGGCTATCTAGTGAGTCCTGGGGATCCAGGTCACTTTGCCTCCCTCAAGCCTATGTGAATTTTAAATCAGCATCTGTTTTCTGTCAACTTGCTTAATTCTTTTTAATTATTTTTTTAACTTGTTGGGTTGCTGTGATCTCAGTTTTTCCATTTCAGTATGAAGCATAGTTACACTTTCATGTTCTTTTTCTGTTTTCCTGTGAACATATTTCTTTTGGAAAACTGCTGTTTTTCCCTATAGTCTATGTGAGACACATTTAGTATGTATGATTTTAGCTGTTTAAGATATTGGGGAAAGTGATAGGGCAGATTTGCAGGCCTGTTTTTTTTGTTTGTTTGTTTGTTTGTTTTGTTTTGGTTTTGGTTTTTTTTTTGTATTTAGCTTCTGATATCTGTTTTTAAGTCATGTTTTTTCTTCTGTTGCCTCTATTAAGATGACTGATTGTCAAGATTTCTATATCCCCATGATGTGATATACACAATGACTAAAACGGTTATCTTACATTCCTATAGCATTCTTTTTTTCAGCACTTAATGCCTTTTATTCCTTAGCTTCATGCATGAATTATGTAGCATATGTGAAGAGGCTTAAACTGTTTCCATTGCATTCTTTCTGGCTGGCTCCTGTTATATTTAGGGTATACTTACAGTTTCGACAAAGTAAGAATGTTATTGTTGTTGACCTTGACACTAGATAACTGGGCAGACATTATATAGCTATGTTTGAATCCTCACAAAATGTGCTGTTGAAGCCAACAGAGTCCTGGCGGGAGACCCTTCTTGACAGCAGAGTCATGGACCTTTTCTTCACAGTAAGTCCTAGTCTTTGTCTCTGGTAACAGGGGACCTGATAAGAGGAAATGCCTTGGTATTTCTAAAGTAAAACAGGACAGATTTCTTTTTTCCTTGTTGGTTTTTCTGCTAAAGGAGAAATATGACAAATCTTGCTAATGTACAAATATTATCTCATTATGAAGAGCTTAGATCCTTCTTAGGAGAAGCTATCTCATGTTGAAGGGCTTCTAACTTCTTCTCAGGCAGAACTTCTTACACTTTGTAATCACAGGACTCCTTTACACTCTTAAAATTCAGAGTTTCCTACTAGCTTTTGTTTATGTGGGTTACATAGCTATTATCTCATTGCAAATTCAAACTTATAGAAGCAAAAGAAGATAGTGGTATGAGGTTTTTTTTTTTTACTAAAAAATAACATGTTCTGATAATAAAAAATAAACTGAAAAATTCAGACTGAAAACTTTAAAAAGTATTTTATTTCACTATTACATTGTAATATAAATAACTTCAATAAATACTTTAACAAGTATAATGAAAATAACTGGTGTTTTTGTTTTGTTTGCTCTATATTTTTACAAATCTCTCTAGAGTCTGATTTAATAAAAGACAACCAGTTTTTCTTGTTTTGTGTTTCATTCAGTTGGTATTTTACGTCATGTGACCTCAGGAAAAGCCCACTATGTGCATGCATGCAGTGCAAAAGGAAGAGCAGGGGCGCATTAGTGCAGTGGCCTAGGAAGCAAGGCTCCCTGGACTACATGCCGAGAACTGTTCCCCTGGCGGCCTTACTTACCGTTTATAAGATCTGAACTAAGATGATGTTAGGAGCAATTTGTCTTAAATATTTCAATTATAATTTTACAGGTCTCTTAGAATCAGTTAGCTACAAGAATCAAGCCAAGTGTTCCCACATGTGCCAGTGAGTTTTAGAATTAAAAAAATATGTGTGATGTGTGTGTGTGTCTCTGTCTGTCTTTCTGTATGTGTGTGTTGGGTGGTAATTTGAAGTTACAGAGCAGGTATATTGTTAGATCAGTGACTTATACAAAGTAAAAACCAGTAAATCTAAACTAAAAGAAGACAATTTTGTTCAATCTGAATCATTATAGTTTCTTTTTTTTAATGTATCTTGAAGTATGAATGAGCCTTTTGTGATTGAACCATTTAAGATATTTCAGTACTGTGGCATATATTTTAAAGTTTAAAGCATATTTGTCCATCTTAGGTACTGAAAAAAAGGTTTTTTCTGCTATAGTGACTTGATTTGAAGTTCTAGAGATTACGCCCAGGGTATTGTGCATTCCTGACAAGCACTGTGCCACCAAGGCTCATCTCTACCCTTCATAAAAGATGTTTTCTATGGAAATGCTCAGTCTGAGCGTTAATCACCTTAGGTTTTCCTTTTTCAAACGAGGAAAAAATCTAAAAACATAAGCACTCTGTGGGCTGCCTCATCTGGCAGGAATTGTTTTGATAGGAGTCCAAGTTCAGTTCTTTGTATTTGTTCAACAGAAAGTAAGTCCCACTCCAGCAGTTTGTGAAAAGGCGAAAAACTTGCTGGCAATGCTGCAAGCAACTCTTCTGTGTCTGAACAGCTGTCTAGACAAACCGGACAGCTGCCACTGTCAGCTGTGAACTACCACATGCTAATAACTTTGAATTCAAAAGTTAACCCTTTTCTACTTTGTTATTTTAGTAGCTTTTGAGTGTAGCTTTTGCATTGAAGCAATTTATATAAACAATTTTAATTTGTAGCAAAAACCACAACTTAATCTTTCTGTTTGAGTTTTGCTAAATTTATCTTCACTTACATGGATTAATTATCAAATTTAATCTTTTTCCATTAGATATCATTATTATGCTAGATTTCAGTAGATAAATACACTGTCACATGGAATGAAGACTTAAATTTATTGAATGGATCGGGAATGCAAATGATTTTGGTTGCATTCTGCTCTTCAGAAGTTAACAAGAGTTTTTCTTCTCTTCTTACCCTTTTGATCAAAACTTTCCTAATTGTGATTCTGGTGTTTTGCCTTCTGAATATTGCCAGTCTTAGCATAGCATGTCAGACACGACTTCACCTGTGTCTTTTTATTTTAGCACAGAGACTCCACACTCTCCAAGCCTCATACTGCATGCTTACTGGGTGTTTCATTGTGGGTGGCACACTGGCATCTCATATTTAAACATGCTTCAGTAAAAATCTGTCTTTCTTGCTAACTTATGCTTAATGTGCTTATTTGGTGAATGGCCTCTCCACTTGCCTCCCTGGATGTCCATCTCTCCTCCCTTCATTTCCTTTCTGTGTGGAGATGGTAGATCTGTTTTTGTTTTGTTTTGTTTTTTCGAGATAGGGTTTCTCTGTGGCTTTGGGGGCTGTCCTGGAACTAGCTGTTGTAGACCAGGCTGGTCTCATACTCACTGAGATCCGCCTGCCTCTGCCTCCCAAGTGCTGGGATTAAAAGCGTGCGCCACCAACACCTGGCATGGTAAATCTGTTTTTTAATTGTATGATACCATTTAAATTGTAATCCATGTTCAGTTATGAAGGAAATGTTCTCAGTGCTAAAATCGGCAGATCATGAATCTATATATTGCGAGAATTACTTGTTTAACATGAGTTTTATGTGGCTCCTATTTCAGACAACAAATTAATCCTTGGTCCTAGGACAGTTTCATTTTGTGTTTTTAGATTGTCAACACTAGCTGTCTCATTAAGCACATGTTTTTTTCTTTCTGTGCAATCATTTCTGGTCCAGAAATGAATGGCCATTTGGCTCCTGTGTAGTGTAGAACAGATTGTGTGCCAACCAGTCTGCACTATACGTGTTGGTAGAATCTGGCCCTCGGCATCTCAGTGAACTTTTCATTAGGTTAAGATCCAAAGGAAGACAACACAGATTTAATTATGTTTAAGATAAAGAACTTTAAAGAATGTATTCAAGAGTATGCAACCAGGATGTGCATACAATTTTGTGTTTTGTGTGTTGTGCTTTTGTAAAGCTTAAACTACATTGTTACATAGGTTGAAAAGTAGTTTTGTTCTAGACCAGGGATTGGCAAACTCTACGTGCTATCAGGGACCACAGGAAATGTTTTAGGCTCTGTGTATAATATGGTCATATTCAACTCTGTCATTGTAGTGAGGAGCCCATAAATTAAAAATAAACAATCAGCCGGGCGTTGATGGTGCACGCCTTTAATCCCATCACTCGGGAGGCAGAGGCAGGCGGATCTCTGTGAGTTCGAGGCCAGCCTGGTCTACTGAGCAAGTTCCAGGACAGCCTCCAAAACAATACAGAGAAACCTTGTCTCGAAAAACCAAAATAAATAAATAAGCAAAGCTAGTATTCCAGTAAAACTTTGCTGATAGTTGTTAGAATCAAGAACTTTGTATAATCCCCCCTTGATTTTATTTTTCTTCTTTCAACTGTGTTAAAAGCCCTAACCTCCACATCTATGCAGACACAGGCAGGAAGCCAGATTTGGCCCATGGATTAATGGCTTGCCAGCCCTTGTTCTAGACCAGAATATAACTTATTTTAAGCATATTAGTAAAGCATTCAACTATAATTTTTAGAGCTGTTATACTTGTTTAAATTTATTTGTTCTTAAGAAGCCAAGAGGCTAAGGTTAGTGGAATCAGTTTACAAAGACTAACTCTGTTCATTGTGTCCCATACTGTATCAGTGAATGCATTAAAAAAAGAAAGAAAAGAAAGAAAGCATCTGGTATCAAATAATTCATAAATGATTGACAGAGTCAAAGCCAACATAACCTGAAACAAATAGAGAGCAATGGTTCAAAAAAGAAAGGGGCAGGGGCTAGAGTGCTTCAGTTAAATGCCTGTGGAAAAGAGCAAATGACCAGTCAGTATTTTGTATGAAGATGAATAACCACTTTTAATTTCTTCCTGGCATTTCCTGTTCTGTTTTCATGTTAGAACATGGAAATGAAATCTTTAATATCTGAAAATTTAGTAATACTGAAGTTAAGTAATATTCTGAGGACTTTTCTCTAGCTAAAACACTGTAGTAGGTGTGTATCAGTATTATATCATTGAAGTAAGATCTACTTGCACATTTAAATGAATTTATGTATTAAATACAAATTTCATTTTAACATTTAGTGTTAATAGCAATGGTGTGAGATAAAATGAAATTCAAACATCAGAATCTAAGCATATGTCCCATGTCTGTGAGTAGGTGATATCTAGGATGGGTGATAGGTACAGTTGTTGATTTTTGAAGTGTGCAACTGTTTGCTCCCACTAAGGCAGCATCTATATACTGGATTGAACTTGCCTGCTAACTTTAGCAAGAAGCTGTGGCAAGGCATAGTTAGCATAATACAGATGACTATCGCCGTTGCTGTTTTTAGCTGAAGCAGTATGTCTGACTGGCTAGCATCTGTTTTCTCTCCTTGTCATAATATGCTGGAGACAGTTCAATTTTTAAAAGGCAGGTAGCCCTCAAGTAAAAATTAATTGATAATGTTAAAATCATGATCTATAATATCAGTTGAACTGGAGGATGATTTTCAGGTTTGTTTTAACCAAGGAGTTAATTTACTAGAAATGACCAGCTACAGTGAATTTTTCTGTTACCTCATTTGACATGGTTTGCACGTGACCCCTACAAAAGAAGAATTTGTTTTTATGGATTAGTAATTCTTTCTAACAGGTACATCGAAAAATCAGAGAAGATTCAGATATGGCACAGGATTCTCTGCAGTGCCTTGCCCAGTTAGCTTCTCTGCATGGACCGATCTTCCCCGATGAAGGATCCCAGGTTGATTATCTAGCACACTTCATTGAGGGCTTGCTGAACACTATCAATGGGTAGGTATGCTTGTCCTTTTGAACTAAAGAGGGAACCTTCCCTTTTCCTCTGACATTTAGCATGGAGGAAAAAAAAAGAACTAAAGCTTTTCTTGTTCTGTGTTTTGAAATAAAGTTGTATGACTAATTTGAAATTAATAGAGACATGCCTTTGAAAATGAATAATGATAATATTTTGTGTTTGGAAATATAGCTTATCTTGCACTACTTAACAATCCACATGGTTTGATTTGTAGAATTGAAATAGAAGATTCTGAAGCTGTGGGGATCTCCAGCATTATCAGCAATCTGATAACTGTGTTCCCTCGGAATGTTTTAACTGCCATCCCCAGTGAACTTTTCTCCTCCTTTGTTAACTGCCTCACACATCTCACTTGTTCTTTTGGGCGAAGTGCTGCGTTGGAAGAAGTGGTGAGTAATGCTCCTAAGAGCTGTCTGTGTCTGCTTATCATAGGAACCTTGTGCTGCCTTCACAAAACGTTGTGCTATGACATGTTTTAATTGAGTACTGGTGGCTTTTGTTAAAATTACATTTTATATGTAAATTAGTGACAATGTGTATGGAAACATGTAAATTTTGTGTATTTAAATTAGTCTTAGAAATTATAATTTTGAGATAATTAGAATTAAATGTTTTTGTTACATTATGTTGAATAGCCCATTTTAGCAGTGTTTAACAAGTCTACCAAGTACTGCTAAACAACTTTGTGGTTAGATGTAATTATGTGTAGTTAATTTTATCTATGTTATTTTGATATCTTTATTTGAGACTTACTTGGAAATTATGTGATGTGTATTACTTAAAAATATATATTTTGGTAAGCCCTAATTACATTCATGTTAGGACTGATAATAATGCTAATGATTTTTTGCAAACAAGTACAAATTTTCAGATGCTTTCCAATTTTTATCTTTTAACTTAAGGAGATATATACTAAAATCCCTTGACAACACAGCTGCTTTGTAATACTTAGTGTGACTAATAACTATAGTAATCATTGAAAATAATTGACTTAGTTCTACAAAGTAGTGACTTAACTTTTGAAATTGATTTTTCTTGTTTTAATTTAAAGGGAGGTTCTTTTAAAAACAGTTTTAAGAGAGAAAACACTATTTGTAGATACCTTTTAGAATTTCTTGTTAAATTCTGAGTTTATATCTTACCCTGGCAAATTGGTAGTTTGTAAAGCTTCCAAGTGTTCAAAGAATTAGGAATCTGGGAATGATTGCATTTGTGTAATTAGGCTCTTAGGATTTAATGAGAGGTTATGTGATGGAAAAGTATGCATTAGACATCATACGTGGGATTTGCATTTCTTAGGATGGTAATTTCTGTTGAAGTTAAGTGTCTCAGCTTTAGTCAAAAACGTTTCATAGGCTCAGACTCAAGTGTGCTTTCCTGTAACATGGCTTCATTGTGTTCTTGATTTTTCTTCCTGGAGTGAGATGGAGTCAGGACTTAACATGTTGATCATCTGTTTAGACACACAGCTACCTTCAGCGTCTCTAAGAGGGTTCTCATATTTAGCATACTGACTAGAAGATATGCATAATTTTTGGCTTGAAATTTTTATCTTTGAAATTCATTTGTTTTGATCAGGAGACTTTCTGTCAAAATTTGGCATAGGAGAGTAGTAACATAAGAAGCTAGATCCGCTTTCAGAGAAACGGTATTTCTTAGGCTTTTCTCATGAGAAAACATGCTTGCTCAGAGTTAGGGTTACCTAATAAGTTTCATTGAAGGAAATAGCTGTTTGTGTCTTTTAATTCTCTCAGTTTTATCTGTTTGTATATAACAGTTATTTTTAAAGGTAACTGACAACCAATTCTACAGGACAGAAAGGAAAATGCTGACGCTTTGCATTAATTGTGGAGGGTACATTAGAGAGACCTGGGGACATTGAAGGTTCGGGGTTGGTCCTGTTATGTGACTTGCATGATTGCTAAACAGATTTCCCTAAATAGCAGTTAAATCTTCATGTTTAGTTAAATCTTGTACATCCTGGGGAATAGTCAGCTAGTAGCTGGAGGTCATGAACAAATGCCTCCAAGACAGATTGATCCAAGGATTGCCATAAGGGTTCTTACTTACGTCATCTTTTGTTTTCTTGGCTACTGAGTAATTGTAGTACTAGTTCACAATGCACAGCTGTTGTCCTGAGATGGAAAACAAATAATCTTTTAAGGAAATTTTGGGAAAATTGAGCATATAGATAAACAGCTTAGGAGTCCACATGGTGTGGAATGATGATACATTTGGAGGGAGACAGTGGTCAAAGGCTGAGTGATCATAAACACTGGCTGTTTATGATGACCTTTGGGTTACTTTTTTAACTTCATTTAGTACATTTCCTCCTTGGCAAAATCAGGGTGACAATTTTTTTATGATGCCTTTCCCCCTGACTTGTCTGTCTGTTTTGTGGTGGAACAGGATAAGTTTGAGAGGGTCTGAATATGTAGCATGGGGTCTCATTCTGTGTTTCTTGCCTCTGCCTCTACCTGGGATAACTGATATGCTACCATCCCTGGCTTCCTTTGAGGGAAAAAAATGCCTGTTTGAGGCCAGCCTTTACTCAATGAGACCAAGCCTCAAAGGGGACTTTTTAAAGCAGAGAGCAATTTCTTACTCTAGGAGATTGTGTTGGTGGTATAACTTGACCTTCTGTTGTGGATGATTGATTTTGAGAAATCTCCCTACCCTGTGAGTCTAATAGCTGAGAATGCACACACACAACATTGCACCCCTGCCTATTCTTCATGCTGACATTTCTTCAGCCTGCAGAATTATAGGAAAAGCTGAAATGAGACATAGGGACATTTTTTAAGCTTTGCACATTGAAAGAATATTTCTTTCCAAAAATAATGCTAATTTTGGCTTTATAAGAATATTTAGAAGAAAACTGTTAACTATTGTGTTTTAAATACAGATTAACAGGTAAAAGTATTTTAAGAATTCCTTGCAAAGTTAGGTGTGGTGCATGTCTTTAATCCTACACTCAGGAGGCAGATTGGTTCCAGGACAGCTAGTGCTACCCAGAAAAGAAAAAAAGAATACTTTTTTGTTTAACTCAGGTTGGATCACAAATCTTACTATGCAAAATTTTTTATTTTATTTATTTATTTTTTGTGACCTGGTTTCTCTGTGTAACAGTTCTGGTTGTCCTTGAACTAGCTCTGTAAACCAGGCTGGCCTCCTTCCTCTGCCTCCCCAGCACTGGGATTAAAGATGTATACCACCACCACCTGCACAATTTTTTTTGACTTGGATAAGATTCAATTTTAATGTTTTAAATAGGTGTTTTAAGTCTTGCAAGAATGTTTATTGTGCAAATATTGTGGCATTAGAGTAAAGCTTATTTATCATCTCAATGTTGTTTAGTATGATATTGTTTTATCTTAAAATGTTGTATTTATTTTATGTGCATTGGTGTTTTGCCTGCATGTATGTCTGTGTGAGGGTGTCAGGTCTTTGGGAACTGAAGTTAAAGACAGTTGTGAGCTGCTGTGTGTTTGCTGGGATTGAAAACAGCCAGCGCTCTTAACTGCTGAGCCATCTCTCTATCCCCTCTGTCTTAAAAAAAAAGTTGCTATTACCATATTTAACTTAAGTGATACACACTAGAAAAGAATCTAAATACAACAGATGAGTAGCAACATAAAAAGTATGAGTCTTTGGTCTATTATGTGTTCGTTAGTGTTATACTGTGTGATGCTGTTTGGTGTGCCATTGTGCAGGGGGTTGTGCCAGTACCTATACATTTTAAATGTGAAATATTTTTGTGTTTAAATATAAAGATAGTATAGAGAGAAGAACTCTGCATTACCCACCCATATTAAGGAAACAGTATACCAAGCATGGCATGATGGTTCATGTTGGTAATCTCAACACACAGAAGGCAAAGGCAGCAAGATGGTAATTTGAGTTTAGTCAGGACTTGAAAGCAAAGGAATAATGTGTTGGTAGAGTCCCTTTCTCCCCTGTATTTATGTGTGGTGTGGGTGTGGCTCCCTGCTCCCCTTCTGCTCCTGTGACCAGTCTCTGTTATATAACTCTGCTTTGCCAAATGATCTTTTCATCATGTGTACAAAGTGCATACTGCTAGTGAATTTCTCAGCTGGTGTACCTGACGCCTTATCTTACTCTCTGTCATCTGTGGTAGTTGACTTTCTCTATTCTCTACATTCTTGTAGGCTGGAAATAGGAATTCTGGAGTGAAAGTAATTGTTCACATCAATTTCATTGCATATTTTGATGTACACGAACCATACTTACTTAGGAAAATAGTTTGGTGGTTTGAATAAAAATAGCCCACATAGACTCATGTGTTGAAGTGTTTAGTCCTCAAATGCCAATACTTTTCTCTCCTCCCCCACTTCTTTCTCTGTCCCTGCCTCCCAAATGGGGGAATTTAAATGTGTGTACCACCATGTCCAGCCCTACTCTTCTGATTATTATCCCTATAATCTTATCAGAATGTCCTCTACTTGAAATCATATATCTCTGAAATTACATTCATTGTGAGGCATGGGCCAGAGCAGATTCCTGTACTGAAAGATTTCTTTCCAAACATTCACTTGAGAGAACATTTCACTATTTTTGGAATTATATATTCAAAATTATCAAAGCATAAATGTACATTGTTTTCTGTGCCTGAAGCACTGTGTACCCATGCTTCTCTACACCTCCAGGCTAGTTATAGGCAGAGAGAAGTGCTGGTCATCGTGTTTTTACTTCTACTCCCCACTCCTTCATTTTCAAATGGAGTAAAGTGGGGTCAAGTAGGTCCCATAAGCTCTAAGCCCCTCTCCAAAGCCTTCTGGCAGTAGGCCTGACAATGCTCAGAGCATGAGCACATAGTGTCTAGATCGGTCTCCTTAGTCATCTGTCCACATGCTGCCAGCCAGGATGCTGGCTGGGCTGCTGGGTCTAGGCCAGAGTGGCCATGGAGCAAAGCCAAGGTATTATGAAAAAGCACTAGCTTAGGTTTCACTTCTCTGGGATTAGTCTGGAAGATCCAGTTGCCAATTGTCATCAACCAGATTTCTCACACTTTGCCTGATGAGTTACTTTATTGGTATACAGATAAAACCAGAGACTTTTTTCCATGAAGCTCTGTCTTTATTTTAAATCACTGCCCATTGTGTAAGGACTTGTGCATTCTCCTTAAGATCATTCTAATATCAGGGCTTACTAGAGGCATTGTGGAGAATTCTTTAATGATAACATCGCATGTAAGGCTTTAATTTTTAAAAGATACTTTTACATTTTGATGTGTGTCTTAAATATGTATTTAGAAAAATGATAGTTGGTCTTTAAAAATGTCCTGTGTTTTTCTTTTTGAAGCTAGTTCAGGGGATGTTACTCCTTAGTCCTGTTAGAAATGTTACCAGCCTGTTTATTTTGGCAAGATAAACTGTTAAGACCTGACAAATGATGTCTGCAAAGCACATGCCTTGTTAAGTATATAAACAAGTCACAGATGTTTCTATGGGAAGAAAGTATCCTATTCACTTCAGGATTCCAATGCTTGGCTCTTAGCATTTGATGAAATTATAGAAGGAACAAAGCCACCTTTCTCATTGTTTATAACTTTTTAACGGTGTTTGTTGTTTGTTTTTGTTTTTCCTGACCTTTAAAGGGTGTATATTAACTGAACAGAGCACTTTGCACAGGTGTGTAACATGCTTTGCTCATATTCACCTGAGTCACTACCATATCTCGCAGTACAGGCAGTGTTTTCTTTCCTTTAAAAAATGCTGTCATGTGCTTTTGTCTGTCGCATGTACTTTCGTATATATTACAGTGGCTTCTTGCTGTGACTAAGAGAAAGCCTGATGTCTTGAGGGTCTCGATATACTCCTCCCTCCCACCCCACTCCCTGTGGGAGGGCAGTGTCTTCCTTCTCACTTGCATTGGCGCTCTCTCCTGTGGTTCCAGCTCCCCCACCTCCTGGTCTTTGCAGCTTTTTAAGTATAGTGTCCTTTCAGCAGAATAACAGAAGAGTCTAGGGAGGGATTTTATACCACAAATAGCTCTGTAGTCTATTATTTGTGTGTCTACCTACTTCTTAGTTCTTAGAAAATTCTTTGTCTCGGTGTAGTTTTGGTGTGAAAGTTTAACTGAGAAATAGTAGCTATTCATGAAAGAACAAGACAAAATGGGAATTGAAAATTACAGCTAAGACCATGGCAGTCTGTGCAGCATGGTAGTTTTCCCAATGGACAAGTCTGTGGTAAGATTGTGTGTGTGCCCCGGGGGGTGAGAGACTGGCCTGGATGACTGAGGAAAGGTCTGGCTTCCCTTGGTTTTTTTTTTTACTTGCTTATTTTTTTTTTCTAGTTTATCCTCTTCTGCCTCCTGAGTGCTGGGATTAAAGGTGTATGCCACCAGGCCTGGCTTCATTTTTACATTCTTAAACTACTAGCTAACTCTATTGATGGGTTACCTTTCACATTCTCTAATATTATGAGCTGAGTCAGTGACCAGTATGTTTCTTGACGATAGATATTCTTTCCTATTATGTGGAATTAGCTTGTGCATTCTCCTTAAGACCATTCTAATATCAGGGCTTAATGAGGCATTGTGGAGAATTCTTTAATAATAACAACGCATGTGAGGCTTTAACTCTTAAAAGATACTTTTACATTTTGATGCATGTCTTAAATATGTACTTAGAAAAATGATAGTTGGTCTTTAAAAATGTCCTGTGTTTTTCTTTCTTGTTAAAGAACTTCTGTGAAGTTTTTCCCCATGTAATCCCTAGCTCTCTGATTAGGTCAGCTTGTTTGTTTCAGTTTTGAAGTCACTTGAAAATGTTGGGCTTGAAATTTGTAACCCAGTGCTAGATTGCTTGCCTAACATACATGAGGCTCAAGATTCTATCCCAGTACTGGAAAACAGTGCGTTTGTATAAGAAGTATTTTTTTATGTGTGGTGTGTATGCATTTTTTTTTAGCTTTTCAAATGGTTAGTACTGTTTTTATTGAAAAAAATGTATTTTCCATAAATCACTAAGCAGTTAGTCTTCTAAATTAAGCATTAATTCCATATTGCCAAATAATTACTTATTTTGAAATTTAGGGAAATTTAAGAAAGCTTAATAAATGCTTAATAATTGGAAATACTTTTCTTCTAAAATGACTTTTAAAATTGTTTTTGTGCACTACCCATTTTATTTCTCTGGACATCTGTTTTATGGGTGCTCTTTTCCTTCAGCTTGATAAGGATGACATGGTGTACATGGAAGCATATGATAAATTGCTGGAGTCCTGGCTAACTTTGGTCCAAGATGACAAGCATTTCCATAAAGGCTTTTTTACTCAGCATGCTGTTCAAGTTTTCAATTCCTATATTCAGTGCCACCTTGCTGCTCCGGATGGCACAAGAAATTTGGTAAGTTTTAAGCAAGGAAAATCACCATAGGTTCTGTTTAACCATATTAGACAGCATAAACTACTAGAAATTTGAGATAGGTTCCTTCAAAGATTTGCTGAAGAAAAGTGGTTCCTTTTTTCTACTGGTTCTTCATATGTGGACTATTACAGGTAATCACTTTTTCATGTTTTCAGTTAGCCACCTCTGTCTTGCCAGGTCCCTGGTAACATCTTATATTAAATACGTCCTGTACTCAAAGGACTAGGGAATCTGAAGATATCAAATTGTTTTAATAAAAAGTGGCAATCCCCAGTATAAGGGGTAAAGTGTAGGTTTGTGGCCAGCTATGTTACCATGTGCACAAGGGAGCATTTCTGCCCTCCTTCTCCTCAATGCTGTCCTCATCCTTTTGATGGCTATCAGGGCTGCTGACACGGTTTGAAAAGTGTCCTAGAAAGCTGTGGCTGCAGGCTGGCTCTGTCCAGCTCCTCCTGAAGCCACTTGATAGGGCCACAGACACATGCTATGGAACATGATGCTGCATTTCCTCATTGTTTCTCCTCCTTTCACCAAATAGACTGCCAATGGTGTGGCCTCTCGTGAGGAAGAAGAAATAAATGAACTTCAAGAAGATGATCGAGATCAGTTTTCTGATCAACTAGCCAGTGTAGGAATGTTAGGAAGAATTGCTGCTGAACACTGTATGCCTCTTCTGACAAGGTACACTCAGTCCCATGAAGAAATGCTGTGTTCACAGTTCACTGAAGAACTTGAAACACCCCCACCCTGTGTCACAGCACACTGGGTTCAGTGGACAGAAGCATGTAATGATTGCATTCATTGGCAATACAGTTGAAGCCCAGGCATTATGGCCTAGATAGCAATAATTATGGAAAACAGCATGAGAGATGACTTGGAATAAGCAGTTGCAGATACATTGTTTGTTTGTAAAATGTTATTTTTATTCTATATCATAAAGTATAGGTTACAATTCCTCTAGTGCACTTGAGAACAGTTGTATACCATAATATTTTTGAATATGTATATTTTGTGTTAGCATCTTAGTTTATGTTGTTGGTTATATGTCATCAATTATCCTAAGCCTTCCTATACTGAACTTTATGAAGCTATTGTTTTTTTGTTTTTGTTTTTTTTCCTTTTTTAGTTTATTAGAAGAAAGGGTGACAAGACTCCATGGTCAGTTACAACGACATCAGCAACAACTACTTGCTTCACCTGGATCAAGCACCATTGACAACAAAATGCTTGATGATCTCTACGAAGATATTCACTGGCTTATTTTAGTTACAGGTCAGTTACTTTTTTCTTAGAATTTGGTTGCCAGGGAAACCATTTAAACCCTACGAGAAGCCTCATATATTAATAATAGTTTAGAGCTGGGTGTGTAATTCCAGCACTTTGGAGGTTGGGACAGGAGGGTTGTGGATTTGAGGTCAGCTTGGGCTACATAGGGAGACCCAATCTCAAACAATAATAAAATAAATATAGTTCATATATAGTATTGAATGAAACTTGGACATAGTGATACATACATATTTTTAAAACCACTGGCTATCGTATTCAGGGCCTGTTGTATGCCAGATGTTTTCTTTGGATCTCATTGTAGCCCACTGATTAGTATTACTGAGTGGTGTTAATCATCATCTCCACCCCCGTTAACAGATGAGGAAGCTGAAAGTATAAGAAATGGTCATACTGCAGTTAACTTTGGAACCTGAATGCAAATCTAGGCAGTCTGACTTTTAGGGTCTTTTTTGTTGCCCACTAGACCTAGTTAATGTTTCTCTATTGTAATAGGGGGGGACCTGACTTTTTTAAAAAGTTATAGATGAATAGATTCCTGAGATAATGTCAGAATTCCCATTAACTTGACAGAATAAATTAGTCAAGTTTTCAAAGCCTACATGTCACCATGCATTATGAGATTGATGACTGAAACATTTGTCCTTTATCTTTGCTATATTTTTGAGGATTTAATTTTCTGAGAAATTGACAGTTTCTGCACCTCATCTTGAAATTAACAGGTTAACATAATTTACTTTTACATCAACATATATGATGTATATAATTCAAAACTGAAAGCATTTATAGTGCAATTTGGTAAATAGATTTGTTAAGTGTTCATTTTTAATTTTTTTTAAACTGAAGGCTACCTCTTAGCTGATGATACTCAGGGAGAGACTCCGCTAATACCTCCAGAAATAATGGAATATTCCATTAAGCATTCATCTGAAGTTGACATTAATACAACACTTCAAATTTTGGGATCTCCAGGAGAAAAGGCTTCTTCCATCCCAGGGTACAGCAGAACAGATTCTGTGATTAGGTAATATGAACTCTATAGCTGCGCTCTTGTAATTTATGCTGTCTCATAAACTCTTGAGTTAATGGGTAGATGATTGGAGGGGTAGGCACGCTGTAAATTGGATACATGAAAGAAATGAGAACTCGGAGAAGCCTCAAAACATAAGGATGGCAAGGGCACGCTGGCAGGATGTGGCAGGACTGTCCAATATTGAAAAGAACAAATGTAAAATGGTTCTGAACATAAGACTTGGAAGAGGCATTCACTCTAATTTACTAAGAATACAGTGTTTGTCCACCAGTAAACAGTAATGATGTGTGTACAGGCATCCTTCATGAGGGAAAAACAGTCCTTAGAAACCAAGTGAGCCTTAGCAAGTATAAATTGCTTATGTACATGGAAACTGTCACTGGCTTCTTAAGGAAAACTATCATTATCCTAAATATGTGAGGCTTGAGAGCCCTGTCACCAGCAATTACAAGACAGCGAGAGTGCCTCTGAGAGGATTCACTTTCATTTTCCTATCAGTAATGGCAATGTTTGCATAAATTCTTGTTGATGAAACTAAAGAGGGTAAATCTGATTCATTTTATTCTTAGAAATAGATTTGGATATGATTTGACATTTTCTTTCATTGTCAGTGGTGATAGTAGGTATGATACCAGCATTGGTTGGTTTCTGCAGTTACTCAAGATTTGTCCCACTTTTATTTTTTGATGCAAACATATGTGGGTGTTTAAACCTCTGTAATAGAAGATACAGTTAAAGTTCAGATATTAAGTTGATACCAAAGAAATGTTTGGGACTTTATTTCCTTTATTGGTACATTCTCTAGTTTGCCCTAAATATCAAAATTCTTAAGCAAAGGTTTCTTTCGAGGTTACTTGTATGACTAGCATTTGTTATTTTGCTTTGGTTCATATCCTGATGAATGTTGTTTCTAGGACTGTTCATTTCAGAGCTCTGCCTTAGGTGCTTTGTCCTAATTCTTGCAGTAAGTGCCATTAGGAACATTTCCCTTGTATTAGAAGTGCTTTTCCTGTTTTTGCAATTCCCAGGTATCAGTGTAGGAACAAATCATTTTCATATTTGAGAGCACAGATTATGGAGTGTTAGGAAAACAAATGTAAGCCAGGCTATTGTGGCATGTACCTTAATCCCAGCACTCAGGAGGCAGAGGCATGTGGATCTCTGTGAGTTGGAGGCCAGTCTGGTCTACAGAGTGAGTTCCAAGCAGCTAAAGCTGTTGTACAAGGAGATCCTGTCTTGAAAAAACGAAACAAAAAAAGTAATGCTAGCTAGAGTTTGTTTTTTTTGTTTCTTCTTCTTTTTCAATCTAAAGAGGTAATGTGAAATTGATTTGATATATGGGGAAAACAACCTTTGATTCATTGTAAATGTAATCCACATTTCTTGAAGAAACTGTCATTGGTGGCGCACGCCTTTAATCCCAGTACTCGGGAGGCAGAGGCAGGCGGATCTCTGTGAGTTCGAGGCCAGCCTGGTCTACAAGAGCTAGTTCCAGGACAGCCTCCAAAGCCACAGAGAAACCCTGTCTCAAAAAACAAAAACAAAAAACAAACAAACAAACAAAAAGTATCTTCTTGGGTTGGGCACTTTGGGCACATGGGGTACATTCATGAGCAAAATAAGGAAAGCCTACTCCCCTATTAGAGTTCTTTGTAAAAGAGAACAAATCAACAGGTGATGGGATGTTAGAGGACAGTAAGCGCCGTGGGTGAAAAGTTGGGCGGGGCACCTGAGGCGGAACTCCTGCAAGGGCTGTTATAATCCTAAGCAGTGTGACCCATGTGGTCTTTGTTTAGATGATTTGAACAAGGATTGAGGTTTGTAAGGAAATCTTGAAGGTGTCCAGGGGAAGAGTGTTCTAGGCAGAGCAAAAATAAAATAACATAGTGGATGCTAAGACTAGCCATACCTGGTATGGTCATTCAGTAGCCAAAGTGCTATTGTGAACCCAGCAGAGTGGAATGGGTTTTTATAAGAGCAGGAGAAAATCAGTTATGGTCTACAGGTCTTGTAAGACACCTTTGCACTGAAGAAGATTGGAGTGCTGCTGTGAGGTCTGAGTGGAAGTGGAGAGACTGCCTCAGAGTTTAGTCATAGTTATCAAAGAGAAACATGACAGTGTCCAGACTAGATTACAGCAGTGTTGCTTATGAGACTATGTTAAGAGCTAGTTCATCATACTGACTTTTTTACTTTTTATGGCGTATAAATGTAATACAGCATGGATTTGGGAAACAGACTACTGCCTGGAATATAAACTATTCATGACAATTTGCTTGACTCAGGTACCAATCAAGAAATATTAACAAAGTATTTGGCTCAGTTGTTTCTTCAATTCCACCTTCTGATGGGATTTAAGGGTACAGCACAGTGGCGTGGGAGTCGTTCTTTCCCCGAGCTACTGACAGACTTGGCGATCAGACTGCTATTTTAAGGATGAGAGGAAGGAAGGCAAACTGTCAGGCAATGACAGGGAAGAGGCAAGAGAAGAGAATGTGTGTGACTGGTTGTGGGGTGGAGAGACGCTGGTTCTCATACGTGAGGCGAGGTAGGAGTTGCAGGAGGGACAAAAGCTATTCTGCAGAGTCAAATGAGACAGGGCACATTGGGAGGCAGTTACTTTTCAGTCTTGGGGAGAAGATGTAAACTGGTCCTTTGGGTTGAGAGGGGTTTCTGAAAGAGCTCTCTAGGCTGCTGCTGATTTCTGGGCATGGTGTAGAGAAGGGAAGACTCCCTAGGGCTGCCTGACCTCTGCTGCTTCTACCCTTTTACCATTCTGCCACTAGACAAAAGAAAGACTTGAGCTCAGTCCATCTTTATGGACTTTAAGGTGTGTTCCAAATCGCCTGTGGTGATGGCTGTGTAGCCAACGATGCAGTCCATTGCATCACATAACACCCAAGGTGGCCCACTACTAGGTCCGTTGGGATGACTTTTGATCTTGAGCTTTGTCATATGACTTGAAAGTAATTCAAATAGTAGATGACCTTGGTGTTTGAAAAGTAACTTCTTTTGGGCTTTTTTTCTCTAGTGCTTACATCTCTTTAAATGAAAAAGGAATCAATTTTGGATGATCTGACAATAAGTAATATATATTCATCACAAGTATATAAACTAAGTAGGAGACATAAAACCCTTCGGTTTTATTCCCAAGAAATTCTCAAAATTGGGCTAAGAATGTAGCTCAGTGGTAGGCCACTTTGTCTAATGTGTACAAGCTTGTGGCTTGGAGCCCTAGCACTGGAGGAAACTTTGATAATTTAAACTTGTGTTACATTTTTGTCCTGCTATATGCTGTTAAGTATTATAATCTAAAAGACCTTTAAAAATACTTATAGTTTTCTGATCATTGAAAACTATAATGTATAAATGTCTGTATCAAAGAAAATAGTGTAATTGGTAAATAATTTTCTTTGGGGAAATAAAGTTCAAATAATGGAAATCTTGTTTTAAATAGACAGTAGTGGCTGTCAACATTACAAAGACTGAATTGCAGTATATACATTTAAAGTACTAATATAAGCATTTGATTTCAAATTCTGTTAGGCTTTAAATTATATTTAAAATAATTTAGTCTTACTGGAAATTTTAATACATCATGATTGATAAAATATGGGATTATTAGGATTTCTGCTATTTTGTTCACATACACTCTAGAATTTAGAAACTTTGAGCACTGGGTCATGGGGAGCATGTAAATAGTGAGTGGGGAAAGGAGGTTTCTAGGTGGAAGCTCTCCTGATTAAAGGAATTGCTGAGAAGAGTCCTCAGTAAAAGCTGGGAAACAGTGACTAGACAAATGAGAGCAGGGACGTGGGAAGCGGTACCCAGGCAGCCAAGGGCGGAGTGGACGACAGCACTGAGTACTTCTTGGTGAGGGGTCTGAGGGTCAGTAAGAAATGCACACACCCACCAGTTTGATTACACAGGAATTTCAACCCTCTTGGGAGCGAAAGGAATGGAGCAGAAGCCAAAAACCTTGGTGATTAGAATCTTCATCTAGGCACTTACATTCATTACAACCTGTGCTTCCTTGTCTTTTGGCTAAAGTCAAGTTGAAAACATATAATTTCTGGTATGTTCCTTTCCTTCCCCATTCCCATAACATGGGGATGAACAATATATGTACTTTTGTAACTGTTCTGAGAAGCTTCAATTTTAACATATCATTAGGAATCAAGATTATGAGATAATATGCAGGACCATGAGATTTGTAGACAAGACTCAGTATTTATGGCATTCTAATAAGTCAATTCTCAGATCTTAAAGTGTAATAGGACTTACTTTGTGATACAAAAATTTAAACTGCCTACAGGAGGAATGCCGAAAAATTAGCTTAGACTCTGAGCATTTAATTCTGTGTGCACCTCCATTTTGAACTGGGAGCCACGCTTTAGACAGTGATGCTGAGATTGACATCTGCAATTACAGCCTGAGCAGAGGGTGCTTCTCATCCCTCTTTTTCCCTGACTCTGGAAGACCAGAATAATGTGGGACTCTATCTGCAACCCTGTTGGGAGATTTTACACATAGCCTGGCATAAAGAAACAAAAAGGATTTCTATGGAAAAAAAATAGGGTTAGCAACTTCTGTTTTCTCCCACAGGCTGTTGTCTGCTGTGCTAAGAGTCTCAGAAGTTGAATCTCGAGCAATAAGAGCAGATCTCACTCATCTACTAAGCCCTCAAATGGGCAAAGATATTGTTTGGTTTCTAAAACGCTGGGCCAAGACGTATCTCCTGGTAGATGAAAAACTGTATGATCAGGTGAGAATGTAAAACCAGTAACTCTTTGAGTTTATGATATTGGCAAGTTTAGAGGTAAGAAGATTTTTGTTTGTTTCAGTTATGAAAATGAAACTTTTATCAGGGTTTGGTGGAGAGTCAGGTGGATCTCTGAGTTTGAGAACAGCCAGGCTACACAGAGAAACCCTGACTTGAAAAATTAAAAAAGAGCCGGGCATTGGTGGCGCACGCCTTTAATCCCAGCCCTTGAGAGGCAGAGGCTGGCAGATCTCTGTGAGTTCGAGGCCAGCCTGGTCAACAAAGCGAGTTCTAGGACAGCCTCTAAAACAATACAGAGAAACCCTGTCTTGAAAAAAACCAAAAAAAAAAAAAAACAAAAACAAAAAGAGAGAGAGAGAGAGAGAAAGGAGAGGGGGGTGGTGGTGGTGGTGGTGGTGCATGCCTTTAATCCCAGCACTCAGGAGGCAGAGGCAGGGGGATATCAGTGAGTTCGAGACCAGCCTGGTCTACAAAGCTACACAAAGAAGATATATTACCATTAGATTAATACATGTTTTTATATTGTCTGAGATATGTATGTCAGTATTTATTTTAAGTGTCAGTTTGTAAATAATTACTATGAAACTCAAACTGACAGAAAAATTAGTTGGGAAACATGATGATGAATTGGGATTATCTTTTGGATTTGAAAGATGATAAAGTCATGTGAAGTGAGCATCTCCTCAGGCTTTGATGGTTGTTTCATTGTTGATTTTATGTAGGTTGCTTTTTAGCTGATCTTTCTAACCTTAGAAAATGTATCTCTTCTCTTAAGATAAGTTTGCCATTGAGCACAGCCTTTGGAGCAGATACAGAGGGCTCCCAGTGGATTGTCGGCTACCTCTTACAGAAAGTCATCAGCAATCTGTCAGTCTGGAGTAGTGAGCAAGACCTTGCAAATGACACTGTACAACTTCTTGTCACGTTGGTTGAAAGAAGAGAAAGGTAAGGAGTGGGGAGGAGCACAGATTCAGAGTGATAGTCTTAAAACCTCATCACAGTGTTGTTACAGATGCAAATCCAGCTTCCCTGTGTAATGATGGAGAATTGCACTGCCTGTTGATATCAGAGAACCTGTTTTAAAAAACAGTTTCAGGAGCTGGAGAGATGGCTCAGAGATAAAGAGCACTGGCTTCTCTTCCAGAGGACCCTGATTTGATCCCAGCGCATAGTTGTGGTAGCTCACAACTATATGTGACTCTGGTTCCATAGATGTCCTTATCTGGCCTGTTTGGGTACCAAGCATACACAATGTTCAGACATACATGCAGGCAAAACATTCATAAACATAAAATAACAATCTTTTTAAAACCTACTTTTATGTACAAATGTTCCCATTTGATATTTTTCAGTCCCGTCCTGTCCTGTCCACTCCCCATCCCCCACCCCACACACACACACACAGACAGTGTTTCTTTGTGTTGCCCTAGCTGTCCTGGACCTGGCTGGCCTCAACTCGAATCAGCCTAGTTCCACCTTCCAAGTGCTGGGATTAAAGGCATGTGCCATCACCTCCTGGCTCAGTGAATCAATAAATGTTTAAACTGATGTAGCAGAGTTAAACTTTTGGTACTTTCTATAGGAAATTCTATTTCTCTTACTCCTTAGGAATATTATTGCTGTTAACTGCTGGCTTTGAGTGTTGCACATAAAGGATCTCACTTGATCATGTACCTGTTTTACCCAGAGAATTTGATTCCACCTCTTCCGAATAGAAAGGGCAGACTAAGGAATAAGCCCAGTTTACTGAAGGAGTGAATTTATTAGACTTACCTACAGGAGTGGGGGTTAGGGGTTAATTGAAGCTGCATCATTAGAAGGAACACTCTCCCAATGGCAATGGTGACTCTTGTAAAAACTTCTAGAGTCCCTTGCACAATTGGGGGCACCAGAACACTGAAGAGTCTGCTTAGCAAGCAGATAGAACCTAAGTGGTGGGCTTTCTTAATATTAGAAGTTCCTGAACTCCTTCCTTCACAAGGAAATGGCTATACTGCCATTATCACTTTACAGTCAGAACTGATGATGGAAAGAAATTAAGTAAAAAGTCTATGTTCTTGAGAAATTAAAGACCAATGTAGCTCCAGAGTCCATGTGAGCTTTTGATTACATTCTTGCCGGGCAATGGTGGCGCACCCTTTTAATCCCAGCACTCAGGAAGCAGAGGCAGGCAGATCTCTGTGAGTTCAAGACCAGCCTGGTCTACCGAGCGAGTTCCAGGACAGGCTCCAAAACAATACAGAGAAACCCTGTCTCAAAAAACAAAAAAAAATTACATTCTTAGCTGGGCAGTGGTGGTGCCTACCTTTAATCCCAACACTAGGAGGCAGAGGCAGGTGGAGCTCTGTGAGTTCAAGGCCAACCTGGTCTACAAAGTGAGTTCCAGGACAGCCAGAGATACACAGAGAAACTCTGTTTCAAAAAGCAAACAAACAAGAAGAAAACAAAAAACAAAAAAATCAGGGTTTGGAGAGATGGCTCAGCAATTAAGAGCTCCCAATTTCTCCCAGAGTACTCAGGTTTGGTTCCCAGCACCCACATTGGGTGGCTCACAGCTGTTTGTAACTCCAGCTCCAGAGAACCCAGTGTCATTTTCTAGCCATCCCAGGCACCTATACATATGCACATATGGACACACGTACCCACACACAAATAAAAGGCTTTTAGGAATTACATCCAGTCAGTACTCATGAGAATGAGGCAGAGAGATTGTGATAATGTGGTCAACCTGAGTAGCACAGCAAAGTCTTGCCTTAGCGGATTTTAAAATTAAATGCCCGCCCCCTTAATGTGTGAGTTGCCTGCATGAGTTCATGTGCCCTACATGTCTACAAATGCTTGGAGAGACTATCAGATCCCCAGAAACTAGAGCTACAAGTGGCTATGAGCCACCATGTAAGTGCTGGGGCTGAGCCCAGGTCCTTTGCAATAGTCACTCTTAACTATTGAGCCAGGTCTCCAGCCCTGTGCCATCTTTATTTTCTTAGTAGATACATATGTGTGAACAAAATATAGCTTATGTTTTATTATTTCTACCTGTAGGGCAAACTTAGTAATTCAGTGTGAAAACTGGTGGAACCTAGCCAAGCAGTTTGCAAGCCGAAGCCCACCTCTTAATTTCTTGTCGAGCCCAGTGCAGAGGACACTGATGAAGGCTCTGGTCTTAGGAGGTTTTGCACATATGGACACAGAAACCAAGCAGCAGTATTGGACGGAGGTAAAAGTCCCTTCTCTTTTGATTCTCCTGTCACCCTACAGATGTTAAAAGACAGTCTGGAGATGTAATCTGGAGCAATAACTGATTTCGTGTTCTTCCTCCTCACTGAGCATTTGAATGTTATTACTTGATTAATACTGTCTTAGGGCTTACCCAGCCATGCTTGTTCAACGCATTCAATATTACTAGTGTTTTCTTTGCTTCAGGTACATTGTTCCCAACCAGATGAGAGCATGAATCTTTATCAGAATGTGAAAAGCATGGTGGGTATCCCAGAGATAGAGTACTTGCTTTAACATGCCAAGTCCTTGGGTTAGTCAGCCTGTCCCCAAAACTGAAAGAAACTGTGACATGAAGAATCATAAGCATTCTTTGCCTTGAAAAGGGGATGCATATTATAGTGAGTTTGTTTTCTGACACCTCTCTTACCACAATGGCCTAAAGGACAGATTTTCACTGTCTTGCATGTGGGAGACTGCCCAAGTGTCCAAAGAAGGTGTTGATAGCATTCTTTCTGAGGTCTGTGGCTTCTGGTAGTTAGGGACAACCTTTGGCATTCCTTTTGGTGACAGATTCTCTGTTTACTCTGCGTCCCAATTTTCTCAGTCTATAAGACACCATAATAGAGTAGGGACACACTCCAGTATGACTGAATCCTAACTTACTACATCTCAGTTTGTTCAACATCAACCCATAGTGTGAGCGCCTTCTGTAATCTTGAATCAGGTGTGTATGCAGATACGTAGAAGTCTGGCTTCTGGTTCTTTCTACAATGTTCTCTCTTACTCTTTTTATTGCCCCCTTTGGCTTTTCAAGAGTCTTTGTAGTCCTGACTGTCCTGGAACTTACTCTGTAAATCAGGGTGCCAGTCTGGCCTCAAACTCTCCCAAGTGCTGGGATTAAAGGCATGTGTCGCCACATCTAGCCTATAATTAATGCTCTTAAAATCTGTGAAGGTAAGGTAGCTATGGTGAAACAGGCTGACAATTTTTTTTTAATTCTTCTCCTCTGGGTTCACAGAAATGGTTTGGTGGTTAAGAACACATACTACTCTTCCTAAGTATACACAGATCTACCACAGCCAAGTGTACACATGTAGCCAGAGACTGACCAGAGTCGTCTTCCTCAGTTGTTCTGAGGTAGTCTCTCACTGTATCTGAAGCTAATTGCTCCTCGACTATCTGACCAGCAAACTCCAGGACTCCTCTTGCCTCTGTTTCCCCAGCACTGGAGTTATAATAAGGCTTATACATGAGTGCTGGGGTATGAACTTAGGTCCTCATTCTTTATGTGGTGACTTGCTTACATTTCTGTTCTGTAGCTCTGAAAACACCATGACCAAGGCAACTTATGAAAGAGAGCATTTAGTTGGGGGCCTGCTTACAGTTTCAGAGGCTGAGTCGCTGACCATCATGGCAGGGAACATGATAGCAGGCCGGCAGGCATAGCACAGCACCGGACCAATAGTTTACAAGTTGAGACAACAACCATGAGGCAGAGAGAGGCAAACTAGGAATGGTGTAGGATGACACACCTCCTCCAGCAAGGCTGTGCCTTCTGATCCCTAGCAGTTACACCAACTAGGAGTCAAATATATGCAAGAGGATTACAACACCTAAAATCCCAGCACTTGTAAGAAAGAATATCCATGGGACAAATTAGTAAGCTCTGGTTTCGTCAAGATTCCTTGCCTCAATAAAGTGGATACTCAATGTCAACACACACATGCAATAACAACTAGAAAGAAATTATGAGAAAATAAAAGCACTTTAAAAAAACTACAATTTGTCAAAAAAATGGGATTAAAAGAACCCTATTCTGTGAGTTGGCTGTCATTTTTTTGTATATGGCACAAGGTGCTAAGATTCTCAAAATGGACAATGTCCCTCAAACCTAGGAGTCAGAGGTAGAAGTGCTGAGAAATTGGCTACAGCCTAGGCTACCTAGCAAGACCCATTTCAAAGACTCAGGGTAGGGAACTCAAATAGCTCAAATAGTCCTTGTTTTGTGTTCACCCCATCCAAAAAAATATTTTGGGAGCCAGATGAAGTAGGGCATGCCTTTAACCCCAGCACTTGGTAGGCAGAGGCAGGCGGATCTCTGTGAGTTCGAGGCCAGCCTGGTCTACAGAGTGAGTTCCCGGACAGCCAACCTGGACAGAGAAACCCTGTCTCCAGCATCCTTCACAAAAAAATGGGGGGGTGCGTGGGATGACAACAAATGTTCATCCAGTTTGCAGAGTATGAGTTAGGAAGGTCACGCTGTGGTTACCTCTTCAGGTTCTTCAGCCTCTTCAGCAGCGCTTCCTGAGGGTGATAAACCAAGAGAACTTCCAGCAGATGTGTCAGCAGGAGGATGTCAAGCAGGAGATCACTGCCACACTGGAGGCCTTGTGTGGCATTGCTGAGGCCACCCAGATAGACAATGTAGCCATTCTTTTTAATTTTTTAATGGACTTCCTTAACAATTGCATTGGGTTAATGGAAGTATATAAAAATACTCCAGAAACTGTCAATCTCATCATAGAAGTTTTTGTTGAAGTTGCACATAAACAGATATGCTATCTTGGAGAGGTAAGTACTTTCTAGTTTACAAGTCTCTGCGGCAGTGATATTCTATTCTCTGCTTCGCATTTAATGCATGTTTGTATTTCTCCAAAATAGGAAGTCATGTGGAGTGAATATAAGTTCTTACTCCAAAATTTTATTGTTAGAGAGGGGCTAATATATTAAATATAGCTGTGCCTTTACCTTAAGTATCCTTTTATTACTGGTCTTTGGTTATTTCATTGTTGTTTTCTTGGGGTTTTTGTTTTGTTTTTGAGATAGGGTCTCCCTATGTAGTCAAGGCTGGCCTCAAGCTCACAGAGCTGCATCCTCCTCTACCTCTCAGGTTCTCAGAATAAAGAAAAGCATACCACGTCCAGCTCTTTGTATTATTATCCATGATCTGTCTGTCTGTCTGTCTGTCTGTCTGTGGTCAAGGGTTGCTATCTTCCTGTATTTCCCTCCACCTTACTTTCTGAGACAGCTCTCTAAACCAAGCATGCCAGCAAGCCCTCTTAGAGGTCTTCTCCCTCTGGTACTAGAATCCCCAACATGCACCACTGGGGATCTGCACTCAAGTGGTCATGCTTGGTTTGCAAGTACTTTACTAATTCTCAACGCTTTGTTATTGTTAATATAGAGCTACTATTATAATTTAGAGTAGATTTAAACTTTAACTTATCTACTATATCTTACCAAGTAATGTCACACCTCATATTTTCTTACAGTCCAAAGCTATGCATTTATATGAAGCCTGCCTTACTCTGTTGCAAGTATACTCTAAGAATAATCTAGGGCGGCAGAGGATAGATGTTACAGCGGAAGAAGAGCAGTACCAAGACCTGCTTCTCATTATGGAGCTTCTCACTAACCTTCTCTCCAAGGAGTTCATAGACTTCAGCGACACAGGTAGTCTTTTGGAGTGCTGTTGTTACTGACTGTGTTAAAAGTACAGATTATTTTCTTGAAGTAAAGCTGCATGGGGACGTTCCATTTACGAAACAAATGGAAGAAAATTCCCTTCGCATGAAGACCTTTCTCTTGTCTACTTTTCAGTATGAATATGAACTTTTGTTTATTCAGTTTTTTTCTGTATAACAAATCAATTTTTTCTACAACTATCACACAGATGCTTTTTATCTAAAAGAAAAATAATTTCTGTCTCCTTTTCTCCCCAGTTATGCAGTTCTTAATAAATGCCAACTGCTGCTTTTCTCACAATGCCATGCAGCAGGTGCCATTGCTACTCTCACTGTTGAGGTGACAGCATAGAGTCATTGGGTCACTCACCCACATGCACAAAGCTAATAAGTTTGAATTCACATTCAGATCCTTGTATGTGTCTGTAGACCCTAGTCTTTTTAGAGCAGTGGTTCTCAACCTGTGGACCCCTGCAGCAGATATCCTGCATATCAAATAGTTATGATTTGTAGCAGTAGCAGGATTACAGTTATGCAGTAGCAATGAGATAATTTTTATGGGTGGGGGTCACCACATCATGAGGAACTGTATTAAGGGGTGAAATCACTGCTTTAGAGGGATATTTCATTGGCTCTTCCATGTCTGAGAAGTACTGGATTCCAGACCATATAACATGGTTCTCTAATAGCATAGTATGGGGAGAGGAAGCTGATCTGCTTTTCTGCTACCAGCCAGTATGGTAATAAAGACCTTTCAGAACATTGCCTGGCACTGTGCTTGGTAATCAGATAAAGGGGAAAAAACATAAACTGCACTTAAGACAAGAGCTTGGTCAGTTAGTAAAAGTCATTCGTTTGTGCGGTTTGTCTCCACTTTTTTTCCTCAGACGCTGCTGCTGAACATCCATCCTTGTTTGCTTTCCAAGTACAGGCGTGTTGTCAGAGTAGCAGGCAGGAAGGGGTGCAGCTGCTTCAGAAACCAGAGAGTTCATGCCAAATGCTGTAATTGCTTACTCTTGCCCTCAGTGCAAACTCTCCAAGTACTTGAATGTCTCTCCCCTCACTAGTTAGCTTTACCTTCCTGCCAACTTGACTTTTAAACTTGGTCCAAGTGGGTGGTTTCGTAAGCGAAACATCATTTCATAGCATTGCCTTAGGTGCAGGCATTTGTAGTCAGAGAAGCATCATTTCATAGCATTGCCTTAGGTGCAGGCATTTGTAGTCAGAGAAGCATCATTTCATAGCATTGCACTTTAGAGTGCAGAGGCACATTTGTAGTCAGAGAAGCATCATTTCATAGCATTGCCTTAGGTGCAGCCGTTTGTAGTCAGAGAAACATCATTTCATAGCATTGCCGTAGGTGCAGGCATTCGTAGTCAGAGAAACATCATTTCATAGCATTGCCTTAGGTGCAGGCATTTGTTGTCAGAGAAGCATCATTTCATAGCATTGCCTTAGGTGCAGGCGTTTGTAGTCAGAGAAGCATCATTTCATAGCATTGCCTTAGGTGCAGGCGTTTGTAGTCAGAGAAACATCATTTCATAGCATTGCCTTAGGTGCAGGCATTTGTAGTCAGAGAAGCATCATTTCATAGCATTGCCTTAGGTGCAGCCGTTTGTAGTCAGAGAAGCATCATTTCATAGCATTGCCTTAGGTGCAGCCGTTTGTAGTCAGAGAAACATCATTTCATAGCATTGCCTTAGGTGCAGGCATTCGTAGTCAGAGAAGCATCATTTCATAGCATTGCCGTAGGTGCAGGCATTTGTAGTCAGAGAAACATCATTTCATAGCATTGCCTTAGGTGCAGGCATTTGTAGTCAGAGAAGCATCATTTCATAGCATTGCCTTAGGTGCAGCCGTTTGTAGTCAGAGAAGCATCATTTCATAGCATTGCCTTAGGTGCAGCTGCATTCGTAGTCAGAGAAACATCATTTCATAGCATTGCCGTAGGTGCAGGCATTTGTAGTCAGAGAAACATCATTTCATAGCATTGCCTTAGGTGCAGGCATTTGTAGTCAGAGAAGCATCATTTCATAGCATTGCCTTAGGTGCAGGCGTTTGTAGTCAGAGAAGCATCATTTCATAGCATTGCCTTAGGTGCAGGCGTTTGTAGTCAGAGAAACATCATTTCATAGCATTGCCTTAGGTGCAGGCATTTGTAGTCAGAGAAGCATCATTTCATAGCATTGCCTTAGGTGCAGCCGTTTGTAGTCAGAGAAACATCATTTCATAGCATTGCCGTAGGTGCAGGCATTCGTAGTCAGAGAAACATCATTTCATAGCATTGCCTTAGGTGCAGGCATTTGTTGTCAGAGAAGCATCATTTCATAGCATTGCCTTAGGTGCAGGCGTTTGTAGTCAGAGAAGCATCATTTCATAGCATTGCCTTAGGTGCAGGCGTTTGTAGTCAGAGAAACATCATTTCATAGCATTGCCTTAGGTGCAGGCATTTGTAGTCAGAGAAGCATCATTTCATAGCATTGCCTTAGGTGCAGCCGTTTGTAGTCAGAGAAGCATCATTTCATAGCATTGCCTTAGGTGCAGCCGTTTGTAGTCAGAGAAACATCATTTCATAGCATTGCCTTAGGTGCAGGCATTCGTAGTCAGAGAAACATCATTTCATAGCATTGCCGTAGGTGCAGGCATTTGTAGTCAGAGAAACATCATTTCATAGCATTGCCTTAGGTGCAGGCATTTGTAGTCAGAGAAGCATCATTTCATAGCATTGCCTTAGGTGCAGGCATTTGTAGTCAGAGAAGCATCATTTCATAGCATTGCCTTAGGTGCAGGCATTTGTAGTCAGAGAAGCATCATTTCATAGCATTGCCTTAGGTGCAGGCGTTTGTAGTCAGAGAAACATCATTTCATAGCATTGCCTTAGGTGCAGGCGTTTGTAGTCAGAGAAACATCATTTCATAGCATTGCCGTAGGTGCAGGCATTCGTAGTCAGATAGTTCTTGACTTCTTGAAGGTTCTCTAAGCTATTGCCGTACCAGCCCACATTAGTCACCATGTCCAGTCCTTGAGATTGTTCTTGCTCTGTTGACTTTGTTCGTTCATTTTTCTTGTTCACTGTCTGCCCTATTAGTTTCACAGTTCAACAAACTTATCCAAGTTAGCTGGAGGTGCTGAAGTGAATTGCCAAGGCATTAATGTTAACTGATTTCTAGAATGTCTCTTGCCCTTAATTATCTACTGTTACTGTATTTGATATTCAGATTCCCTAACAAAGAATACAAAAGGATGGCGTGGGCTGGGCTTATCAGATTTCTCTCTTACCCATTAATAGATTTCTTGGGTCTTTGACCGTGACTATATTTGTGTTTTCATAAAGGAATATGAACTTTGGAGATTTAAGTTACGACTGTACAAGTATGCTTTTTATTTTGATAGATGAAGTGTTTAGAGGACATGAGCCAGGACAAGCAGCAGGCAGATCTGTGTCAGCAGCTGATGTCGTTTTATATGGAGTAAACCTAATTCTGCCCTTAATGTCACAAGATCTTTTGAAGGTAATTCAAATAATATGAACATGAGGAGTATTAACAGTTTTGTGTTTCTACTACAGTTTACTGTGCTTATCTCTCAGTACACATGCCCTAGTCCTGTGTGTACAGATAATTAGTGGCTCATTTCATCAGGAAGTACCACAGGAAAACAGTTCTGCTAGCAGTTTTAATTCTTAGAACTTGTTTTGTTTTTAACCTCCATTCTCAACCAAAGGAGCCAGCCATGGTGGGTATTCTCCAAGCCCTTCCATGTAGAAATAGGATGTTAGAAACCAAGGTTAATTTTTAAAATTTTTGCACATTATGACTGTATTGTGCTTTGGTTCTATCAATTGGTATTGAGGGTGGGTGGCCACTGAAGTACTCTAGGGGAGAGGTCTTTTGTAATGAGTCATCACAGAAGGATGTGGTCAAAAACAAGGGTACACCGGAGAAGAAGGAGGAGGGTGTGTATCTGTGAATGTGTCACATGCACATGTGCACTCCCATGTGTGATAAGGGGTGGGACTAAGGTGTCGGGACAGAGGAGCAGAAGTGTTAGTAGGGCCTCCTCCCTGAGGAATGTGTACCGGGGTTTGTAACAACTCTTAGGATGAGAGAGTTCATTGAGCTTTGTGCACTGGTTTTGCTTTTAGTGTTTGTCCATTCCATTAAGTCAGCCATCGTAAACATTTGGTGCACATTTTCTCTGTGGCTAAACTAGATTGTCTACTCTCCCCTCAGCTCTTCAGAGCTGTCCAAGTAGAAAGATAAAAAGGACTGACCATTCTACTTTCCACATAACTTTTAACAGTTTAGCATGTTTTCTAATATACTTAAATGGAAATTAACATGTTAACAAAGGCGTTTGTTCCCAGATCTTTAGTTTTTGTTTGACTGCCTTGTTTGTTCAGTCAAAATAGAATATCAGGACTTATCTGTGTCGCCTATTAGCTTTACAGGAGATAATTCTTTCTACAGTGTATTTTTTTGGTAACAGCTACTGAAAGATTCCCTTTACTGTAACTTATTTTACATTTCTTTAGGGCTGTGTTTTTATATATTGTATGCATCTTAAAGAAATCATTATACTACCTAAAACTTGTTAGTCATTTATTTCATTTTATTAGATAGTATTGAACATAAAAATATTTAATGTTTCTTTTTCAGTTTCCAACCCTTTGTAATCAATACTACAAATTGATCACATTTATTTGTGAGATTTTTCCTGAAAAAATACCCCAGCTTCCTGAGGATCTGTTTAAGAGTCTGATGTATTCCCTAGAACTAGGAATGACATCGTATCCTTTAAATGAACTTTGTTATTCAAGGAGGGGATACTTACTTAAGTTTTTAAATTATTGGTTTTCTTTTAAAGTTCAATTTTATTTCTCCAAAAACCTATCCCCTCCGTAGCTGCTTTAACACTCTCTCTCTCTCTCTCTCTCTCTCTCTCTCTCTCTCTCTCTCTCTCTCTCTCTCTCTCTCTCTCTCTCTCTCTCTCTCTCTCTTCTCTGTCTCTGTCTCTGTCTCTGTCTCTGTCTACCTCTGCCTTCCAAGTGCTGGGATCAAAGGTTTGCACCACCATGCCCAGCTCTAATTCTGTTTCATTTGTGAATCTGCATGATCTTTTCCTTTCGTGCATTTAGCACCTGACCCCTGTTCTTAAAGTCATTCCTTCATTAGGTCATGTGATGTATTGTAGCTGGTTCTCTAGTCTTAGCTTGCTGACATTATGATAACATTATAATGTCATCATTTGTAAGATCATCTGCAGAAACAATCTAGACGTCCACTGGACCTAGACTCAAAACTCTCAAAGGCCATCTAACTCAGTTAAGACATTACAATCTGGTCTACCCCCACCTTCTGTATTCATTTCTACAAAAAGTCATGTGCATAATGTAGCTGTCATGTTTCGATCTTTTATAAAGTCAGGTATATCTCAAATAGTTTGCTCTTTGACCATTGTGTCCAGAATGAGTTCAGAAGTATGCCAGCTCTGCCTCGAGGCCTTGACGCCATTAGCCGAACAATGTGCTAAAGCGCAAGAAACGGATTCACCACTTTTTCTAGCAACTCGGCACTTCCTTAAGGTAAGATGTTTGGTGGATAGGTTGGAGAATCATCTTCTTAGGCAAGTTCAGTGGTACTTGCCTGCCATGCCAACTAATGAGGCTAATGAATGAGTATTGCCTCAGTTACAGAGTGAGTTCAAAGCCAACTAAGCAGTTTAGCAAAACCTCATCTCAAAGTTAAAAGGGGAGCTTTTTACATATATTTGATGTATATGAATGTGATCTTCACACACATTACAGATGACTGTGAGCTACCATGTGGTTGCTGAGAATTGAACTCAGGACCTCTGGAAGGGCAACCAGTGCACTCTTAACCGCTGAGCCATTTTTTTCAGCCCCAAGAGGGTTTTTTTTGAGTGTGGGTATCTTGTCTAGATGAATGTCTTTGTTTTGTACTACATGAATGACTGGTGCTTGTGGAAAGTTGAAAAGGGCATCAGATCCCCTGGAACTAGATTTGCAGACAATTGTGAGCTACTGTGTGAATGCTGGACACCAAACCAAGGTCCTCTGGAAGGAGAGGCAGTGCTCTTAACCGCTGAGACATCTCGCCAGACCCATAGAATTCTTGATTCAATTGTGTATAGATTTGGGTTGGTTTGGTTTTGGCTTTTTCAGACAGGGTTTCTCTGTATAGCCTGGGCTGTCTTTGAACTTGCTCTGTAGACCAGGCTGGCCTCGAACTCGGAGATCCTCCTGCCTCTGCCTCTGCCTCTGCCTCCCGTGTGCTGGAGTTAAAGGTGTGCATCACCACAGCTTTGTTCACTGTTTTTTTTCCTGGAGACCAGGTCTTCTGTAGCATGTTCTCTTCTACTTCTGTTTTGTGTTCTTAAGCAATGTTGTATGTAAGGGGAATTTGCTACTCTTTTGGATTCCACAGAAGATAACATCTGCATGTTTTCCTTGGATTCAAAAACTGATTTAATAATTAATTGGTTGATATAATAAGTAGACTATAATTGCCATCCCTTTTTCAGGCAGGGAGGGACTAGGGTTTTACATAATTATCTTATATTTTATAGATATATCTTACTGTGTAATTTCAGCTGGTTTTTGATATGCTCGTCTTGCAAAAGCACAACACGGAGATGACTACTGCAGCGGGAGAAGCGTTCTACACATTGGTGTGTTTGCACCAGGTACTGGACACCCTCCCTCTCGCATGTGGGACAATGATGGACCCAGGACTAGGACTCAGAGACCCAGTTCAGTGTTTCTTAGTTCCATCATGGGCTCTAGGATTTATGTTGTATTTATCTGACAATTTGTTTATCAGATCAAAAGAATTTGTTTTCACTCCTCAGTTTTGAGCCATTCTTTGTCACAGTTTCCACTTAAAAGCATGACTTTAATTTGCCTGTGCTAGTAGCCTAGTTATATACAGTGAGTGATGACTTTCTTTGAGGAATTAAGATTTTATAAAAATGGAATAGTGCCTCAGAGTGGGAGCTGGTGTTTGTCTTCACAGAGTGAAGGATGGAGTATTACTTTGTTTAGTGTTTTAAAAACCATGTGTTACTTATTTTGTTGAACCTTTAAGATCTTAAACCATTATTCCCATGGGATTAATGTAACAGAAGCTCACCTATCTCCTAGTTCTGACAAAATGCCTATCCAGTATACAAAGGAATGGGTTGGGGGTAATTTTCCATTACCTTATACCTTTTAGTATGACCAAGTGATTGGAGAAGCTTCGCCTTCCTAAAACCAGAGGTGTTCTCAGATCCTAGCATGTAAAGCCTCTCTTGTAGATATTATATGCCATGTATACCCCAAGCTAAAAGTGCTCTCGCCATTCCTTTCTTGTGCTTTGCTCCTGTGGCAACTTCCTACAAGTATTTCCTTTCAGGTGTGGGATCCTTTCTGCTGTGTTGGTTACTAAGACAATGGGCTTCTTTCCCTGTGTGTATAACCAGTGCATTCTGATTCCCTTGTCTGGCGTCTTTTAGACTATGGACATTTTAGAGAAGCTCAAGAAGGGCCAGGAGAATGGTTCAGAGGGCGCTTTAGGTACTTGCCGCAAAGCCTGACAACCTGAATTCAGTCCTTGAGTCCTGTGTATGTGGTGGAAGGAGAGGACCGACTCTACAAGTTGTTTACAGACAGACAGACACACATAAATAAATGTAAACCATTTATTAGAAATAAGATAAGCATGATGAAAGGAGACGACCGGTTCTTGCAAATTGTTCTCTTCAGTACATACATGTAAATGAGTGTAAAAAATATTTTTTTGCCCCCCAGAAAGACGGAAAGCAAAGAGTGGGCACTTTGGAATAGCTAGTGTGGCTCCTGGGGCCTGACCCCAGAAGCACTGCTGTTTCTTGACAGTGGGAAGATGATTATACTGGCCTCCCATCCTTCGGAGAGGACAGCTAAAGGAGCCGCCCTGGCTCAGGCTCAGTGCCGTAGACAATAGGGGTGGTTATTTGGGAAGCTGAACCCTACTTCTCTTTGCTCTATATAATATCTGATTTCATCATTTTGATGTTGTGATATCCCAGGTAGCTCATGAAAATTAATGACAGACCATCTTTCCCCACAGCACGTCTTTGGACAAGATGACTTCCAGCCTCTGCCCATTCCCCTGTATACTAATGTTATGAGAGAGGATACCAAATATAGAAAATACCACCACTACATTATTCCTGCCCTTTATCCAGAGCCTCTAGCTACAGTGCTGGCTTGGGACTTTGCAAGTATTCTTTCTCCACTTTGAGAGACCTCTTACATCTCCACACACGTGCTGCTTTGCCTCTACTGTCCTCAGAACTGAGTGGCCAAGGTGTTTGCATGAGCCACTAGAGAACTATTCACCTTCACATTATAGACATAGGGGTTATGTACGTACAAAATGCAGACTAACCAGCGGTGCCATAAAGGTGGTACCATCTGGGTCTGGAGCCAGATTGCTTGTGCTGTTGCTTCATAGCAGTGTAATTTGGAGTGTTACTTCATCTGGCAGAACTTCATCTGAAAATGTGAACATTAGTAGTGTCAATCTCACAGCAGCATACATTTTAAATGAATTAACCTACAGATGAGGTGAGAACAAGAAACACCAAACTGTTGGGAAGAGTTGTCTGCCCAGCCCCAGCCCCGTAGTCCCTGCTGGGATCCCAAAGAAAGCACTCTTACGGCTGTCTTGTTTCTCCTGCAGGCTGAGTATTCTGAACTGGTTGAGACATTACTGTCAAGTCAGCAAGACCCAATTATTTATCAGAGATTAGCAGATGCCTTCAACAAGCTCACTGCAAGTAGCACTCCTCCTACCCTGGACCGGAAACAGAAGATGGCCTTCCTAAAGAGTTTAGAAGAATTTATGGCAAATGTTGGTGGTCTCCTTTGTGTAAAATAAACAACAGAGCTATATTCTTAACTTAGATCCTTTCTGCAAAGTGCACTGAATTGCTGAAAGTTGACTTGAGTCTTGGCCTATTCCTCAGTTCAATTGACCATTTGGATATTGAAGAGCCTGAGACTTTGATGTGGAATTTGGTGAAACAGAAGAGGTCAACTTAAAATCAGCTTCTGTTATTAGGTGTTAGCCATGATCTGTCATATCTGTCTTCTAGATTCTGAATGGTGATTTAAAATTTCAAAATGCAATTCCATATATGTGCAAACAGATATGGGCACCATGAAATTCATATTCAGTGCCTTTTGCCCTTTTATCAAAGCATAGGTGACTAGCCAAAGGTGGTATGTTCTTGGCATTATTTTTCAAAATATCCATAGATTCCCTTCATCACTTGGGGAGCTGGTTGTAAGAGTGGATTCTTGATCCCTACGGTATATCACCGAATACCTGGTTGTTGAGCTCTGGAGTCTCCATTTTAAGAAGTGTCACCCCCCTCCCCCTTTCTTATCCTAAATGTTTTTGAATCAGTGCAAGAGATGGTGAAAACTCTAAGAGATTTTGTGCTTTCCAACCCTTCCTCCTCCCTTCAGTGATTATAATTATGAAGGAAGAAAAATCATCACCAAGTGTCTGTTAGTTTCCTAGTCGTCTTCCCCCCCCCTTCATCCTCAGCATTGCAGGTTCTGTGTAAGTATGGCAGGTTTCTAATCAGACTGTGATGCCTGAACTTGAAGAAAATACGTGTATATTTTTGTTCCGTAAAGTTAACTTTAGGAACTGTAGCCATTTCATTGCCTTAATTTTAAGAGGAAAAGATAAACCAGATTTGTTTAGAGAGACATTGGTCTTGACACATAAGAGTTGGCTTAGGGTATTAGCTGCTATGACCCTCCTGCCCCTTTGATTATGTATTTATGTGAGTTTCCCAGTGAAACGAGAGGAGCGTCCCAGTGTGGTTACCTCTCAGTGTATTTCTGTTCAGCCACACAGCCCGTATCTACTCTGAATGGCTTGCTTAAGCAATAACTTTTTAATGGATGTGAATTACCAGTTCACACAGACTATTGCACATTGGGGCATTAGGGGCAATAATTATGCTAAAGTGGGTGTTACCCTCATGTCACAGGGGCCACACTAATTCAGTTTCAGAGACTAAAAATTTAACTTTAGCCAGGCATGGTGGTGAATGCCAGGCTAGTCTGGGTTACAACGTATGGTCTGTCCTTTAAAAAAGGAAAGCGAGGTAGGAAAGAAAAATTCACTTTAGATCCTCTGGTTTTTCTAATCAGGATTTTTATATTGCTACTGTGCTCCACTTAATTTTGTGTGCCAGTTTTAATTATGAAAATGAAAGCTCATTTATAAACAGCAGTCCTCTGAAACATCTACTGCAGGACCAGTCACACACTGCAGTGGAAACAAGAGGCCTCTGACCCAGGTGCATGTGAGGCTGTCGTGGAGGGGCGGGCTCCTCTGCTGCTCTTGACACCTCTGCTAACCACACAGCAGGTACTGCCCTACCTGACCTGCACAGTGTGCATCTTAACATGTGATGCTCTCAAGACTGTACAGCTACAACAGAGCATGCGTCCGTACCTGTGATGGGGTGTGAGTGGATGCAAAGCTGAGGGCCATAACTTTTTGAGAACCCTTCTAAATTGATCACCATTCAGTAACGGTAAGAATGGAGAAAAAAGAAATCTCTAAATACTACAAAGAAGAAAAACAATATTATTCTCTAACTACATGTTTTGTATTTTAAATGCTTGGAGTGTTTTTAGATTTTTTTTTCTCCTGAAGTGATCTGCAGCAGTAATCACTCTGTTTTGTCTTGTTCCTGACGTCTGTGTTTCCTCAGTGGGTGTGATTTGTGTGTGCTGTGTGTGTGTGATAGGTATGGGCCTTTTGACAAAAGTCCCTAAGATACAACTGAATAGAGAGTCAAGTAGAGATGGTAGGAAAGGTTGGTTTGGTAAGTAAAAAGTCATCTGTGTGTAACTCCTGTATGGACAGAACTATATTAAATTGCTCAGATCCTACTATGATACTCAATTCTGTTACACCACTTTTAATTGAAGGAAGATTTGTTTTACATTGGACCAAACAATGCTTACATGGTCACCAGAGTGCTGGTGAGTGGCCGACTGAGGGTGAAAAGACACCACCATATTTCACATAATGGGAATGCCACTTAGTTGTACCAACTAGACTTTTCAGGATGTGCGTACATGTGTTTGCTTTATTGAGTATTTGTTTAGTTTGGTCTTTTATTTTGCCCTGTTTTGTTTTTACAAGTGCTTCATGAACTTCTGAGCTTCATTACTGTTCCACTTTCCTCTTGATGTTCTTGGCTTAATGGTGTTGAGGCCATGGACTTCATGTTCAAAACTAGTTTTTCCGATTGAAATTGACTATTAAGTTGTTGAAAAATAACAAGAAGTCATTTGTGGCCTTTTTTAAATACATGTTAAATGGACACTGTCAAGTATCTGGTGTTAAATTTCATTTGTTCATAGAGTATCTTGTAACCTCTGTTTTTCCATATTTTTGTTCGTGTTGGCGCGTTTTATGCTTCTTGATATTTCTTTCCCAGGGTGCAATCACTAAGTAATCACAGAGTCGCCAGGGAGGTTGTATGCTAACAGTGGTGCTAATGTAACAGCTCCTAAACTCTGCTCCTGTTGGGTTGATACATTTGACAGTGTCCTAACATAGTAGTTGAGTCTTACTCTGGTGGAAAACTGTGTTATGTAAACACGACTATCGTTTTTGTCTGATAAGATTGACATTTTGTGTAAACTTTGTAAGCTTTTCCCAAAACTTAAACACTTTAAATTTATTGTATGGAAAAATATCTAATGGTAATCAAATACTGTCACAATTTTCACTTAAATCCAAACATCTATTATCTTCCCCACCCAACATCACTCAACACTCTTCCTGCAGTCAAGGCTGTGTAGTCATCAGCTGTCTCTCATCTCTGTTAATATTTGTATGAACCCCTCAAGTACTGAAGGGACACTAGATGTCAGTTTTCAGTATTTCAAGTTGGGGTCTCCTAGGGGATGAGTAGTGTTGATTGAACCCTGAAAATATTCTTCTTTATTATGTATGTATATATATCTTATTTGCCATCTCTTTGTTAGAGATGATTGTCATTGGCCTAAGTTAGCTGTGTCCTGCAAGTGATTGTCACTATTGGTTCCTCAGTAAACACTTAGCATTTCAAGTCTGAAGGAATTGCAGTGTTGGTCAGATGTCTCTTGTTTCCTCCGAGATTAAGGAACTCATTTGGATATGACGTTTTTAACATTATAAATTTTCTATAAAACTTCCCACAGAATAACATGATTTGGGGATGTAATAGTATTTCTTTAATTATTTGAAAATGTATGTAAATGGATGTTTTTTTTTAACTTTTTCTGAAAACACTGCATTTCTTTAAAATTTGACTTTTCTAGAATTAGAAAGAAAAATGCCCAAATTAGACATCTTACTGAATTCAAGTTAGTTTAAAGGGCCATGGCTCAAGTTTAACTTCATTTTTCCTTAGGCATAACAATTATGAAGTGCTCCCGGTTGATTATAAGGGGAAACCATGACTTATATAGCCAAAGACTACATTTGGTTCAGGTCAAAATAGAAGATTATTGATGGACATTTATTTTGCTAGTTTTGAAGATGGTAAACTGTTTCTGTCCTATAGATGTGTACAAGGAAGTCTCTGTAAAGACTGAGATGTTCATCTGTGGTGGTGGTTCCCTCCTATAGAGTGGGAGATGTGTGACTGGCACTAGGCAGCTCCCTGTACCCACTGTGGCCTGCTCTTCACCTGTTCCGTCCCAGTTGTGGGAAGGTTTGGATTTCTTGTCCTGTCTGCATTTTTAGACCTCTTAGCTTTTAGGAGCTGTCAGGTATGTTCTGGCGGTTAATTTTCCTAGCCTGAAGTAATTTACCATGTCTGCACTATGTACCTACTGGGGGTGGGGGTGGGGAATCTGACCTCAAGTGTGCTCTAAGCCCAGGTTTCCTGGTGTGGTGTCTTTTTCCACGAAATTATGACAAATTGCAAATGCTGGTATTGTGATCTTATTCTCTGTACAAAAAGGTTCTATGCAGTGAGCTGTGTTTAATGGTCACAGAATGTCAGCACTGCTACCATTCAGCACGTGTAACATTTTTAAATTTATAAATATTAAAATTTTAAACTTACACTAAGACTTTTTAGTTTTTTTTTTTAAAGAGACCCAGGGATGAGTATACTGTCTAAATATTTACCTCTATTGATAAAACTAATGAAGGCATTTAACTTTTCAAAAGATACTGCAGTATGATTTTAGGAAATAAACCAAGGCTGTGTGTTAAGCCAATTATAACCTGGATATCAAATTGATAAAACTTTATCTGTATTTTTTAAATCCTTCAATGGGCGTTAAAATATGTTTTCACTAAATATTTTTATTACATTTTGGTTTGACCACGTGTGATTTGTTCATGGGTATTGTATTAGTTTTCTTTGATTCCATGACTGCGGCCTTTTTTATAAAAAAAAAAATTTAGCTGGGGGTTTGCTTACAGTTTCAGAGGTTTAGTCCATTATCATCATGGCAGGAAGCCTGGCAACACGTGGTTCTGGAGAAGTAACAGTTCTATATCTACAGGCAGCAGGAAGAGAGTAAGACTGGGCCAGGCTTGAACTTTTGAAACCTCAAAAGCCAACCATAGTAACAGGCTTCCTCCAACTAGCCACACCTCCGAATTCTTTCAAATAACACCGCTCTCTGGTGGCCAAGCTATCTTAATCATTCAGTCTTAACCTACCACATTGCACTCCTGGCCCCTATAGGCTTGTGTTAGCAATATCGTAAAGGAAGAATGCAGTTAGTCCAACTTCAAAAGTTCCCAGTCTAGCCGGGCAGTAGTGGCACACACCTTTAATCCCAGCACTTAGGAGGCAAAGGCATTGTATCTTTGTGAGTTCAAGACCAGCCTGGTCTACAAAAGCTACTTCCAGGACAGGCAACAAAGCTACACAGAGAAACCCTGTCTCAAAAAAAAAAAAAAGCAGATCACACACTTCCAGCATGCTGTGGTGCAGAATATACATTACCGTTCCAAAAGGAAACATACAATGGCACAGAATATACATTACCATTCCAAAGGGATGAAAGGGAACACAGTGAGGAAATACTGGACCAAAGCAAGACAGAAAACATGTAGGACAAGCTCTAAAGTGAATGTCCATGTCTGATGTCAAAGCACTATTCAGAGCTCCAGCTCCTTTCAGCTTTGTTGGCTGAATTGCACTTCTCACTTGGACTGGTTTTGCTAACCCTATTAGCAGCTTTCCTTGACTAGTATTCCACACATCTGACATCTCCAACATCTTGGGGTCTCCAATGAAATGCAGGCTTCACCTTCACAGTTCACACAGTGATCCCTCTGGGCCTCCATGTAAGGATACCCCGACACATTCGTGGCCTCGGGAGCTATAGTTAGCCATGGAGGGAGATTCCAGAATCCCTTTCTGGTAGTTTTGACCTTAAAGGCAGAACCACAAGTGTTGTACCAGGTATTACTGCTTGCTGGGGCAGGAACTTGGTCCCCTAGTTCCTTCATGCTTAAGCTTTCCTTTATTTCCTTGCACACCTGGGAAGCTTAACTGGGTGGAGTATTGCCCTCCGGTCACCACTCCCCTTAATCCATTTAGCTTGGGGCTTTTTCTTTTTAATCTCCATGAATTTAGCTCCACACATTTCTTGGTGCTCCTTTTCTCTAAAACTGTACCTTTTGTGTTTTTCCTTGCTCAGGTGTGGGAACAACAGACCTTGGCTGGAGGCCCACTTTCCCATCAGCCTGGGAGCAGGCAGCTGTAAGACAGTGTTTATTAAAAACATGTTTACTAAAAACAATACGGTGCCCAGAGCAATAAGTTCCTGATAAGGGCTCACCCACTGGAACGCCCTGACCTCAACCTTTTCCAAAGACTAACCGACTCTTTCTGACACACCCACCGCCGCCTCTGCTGTCAGGGTATAACCAGCCAGGGTAGGAATAAAGGAGAGCCTTCTTGAGGAGCCTTCTGGAAGCCACCGACTGGTCTCTGTGTCATCAATCTCGACACCCTCTGCACATTCTCGGACACAGGCTGCTTAGCGAGTGCGGCACTCAGCTTGCTCCTTTCCATTGTAGATCTGCATAAGAGTGACCACTAATAACTACACACCAGTGTCAATTCTAGGATGTCTTCTATCTCTGCCAATGCCAATAATTCAAAACTTCAGTTTAGCCTTAGGCAGATTTTTTGACAGGGGCAGAAAGCAGCCACATTCTTCACCAAAATATCGAAAGAACAGTCTTTAGGCCACTTACTAACTAATGTTCTTGAGACCTCTTGAGCCAGGCCATCATAATCTACATTGCTCTGTCTGCCATGCTTCTTCAGTTTGGCCCGTTAAATGCCAGGTGTTCTATTGCTGTGAAGAGATACCATGACCACAGCCTTTCTTATAAAAGAAAGCATTTAATTGGTGCTGGCTTACAGTTTCAGAGGTTTAGTCCATTATTATGATGGCACACCTACAGGCATGATGCTGGAGAAGTAGCTGAGAGTTCTACATCCAAATCCACAGGCAGCAGGAAGAGTACCACTAGGCCTGGCTTAGAATTGAAACCTCAAAGCCCACCACAGTAACATACTTCAAAAAGCCACATCTCCTAATCCTTTCAAATAACATGGTTTCATGGTGGTCAAGTGTTCACACCTATGAGTCTCTGGGGTTCATTATCATTCAAACCATCACAGGCACTTAGGGATACAAAAACTGAAATGTGCTTGTTGGCTATGAGACAATGGGTAGACACTACACTGGGTATGTTATACATAGCTAAAATAATTTATTTTTAAGTGGGTGGGTCTGTGTGGAGAGTTTGTATGGATAAGTACAGGTGCCTTCACCACCAGAAGAAGAAATTGGATTCCCCTAGAGCTCAGGTTGCAGGTGTTTGTGAGCTGATGATGTGAGAGTCGTGTGTGTGTTTAACCAATGCCATCCAGCCCCATCTTCACCCCAGATAATTTCACAAGGAAACATCTATACAACCAGAAGCAAGATTTGCATTACCTTATGGGAATATGCAGATCTTTGGGACATCCAGTATTCAGAGGAAAATCAATTTTACTATTAATCTATAGTATTCTCGCAGCCCATGACTTGAAAAATAATTTTAGGGTGATTGATTAAATCATTAAGTAGGGGCAAAATTATAGTAAAGAATTGAGTTGAACTCCTCTCTGTCCTTTCAAGGGTGTGGGGAATTGGGGGACTGCCAGGGTTTTTCTGCACACTGTCATCCTTTGTCCTGTTTTAAATACTGTATACAGACAGTAGGGGGCAAATTTCCTGTGTGTGTGTGTGTACACGTGTACACGTGCAGGTGTGTACTCCTGAGAATGTGAGCACACCTGGTAAGAGGAGGACATTGGGTAGCCTGCTTTATTACTTTGTCTTAGTCAACTGGGACGGGGTCTCTCACTGATCCTGAATCTAGGCTGGCAACCAGCCAGCCTAGGTGATCCTTTTATCATCCCTCCCGCAAATGGTGCCAAGGTTAAAGATAAGCACAGCTTTCTGTGTGGGTGCTGGGGTTGGAATTTAGGTCCTCCTAGTATATGCTGAACTTGTATTGAGTGGTTTGCATTTGACCAATACATTTGACATGTTGGATCCATTATGGAACTGGTTTGTTTGTTTTGATATTTATTAAATGGGAGATTTCTTTACCCTCAGGCAAGCTTTAATAAACCATAAATAATGTATCACCACAATCCCCTTTTTTGTCTAATACAAAAAGAGCACAACTACCAAAAACTGTATACAAAAGTATATACATGATGTACAGACAATAAGTTCATCAACAATGTCTAGTCCATTTGCATTTGACAAATTCAGAGAAAATACTCCATTATCTATTGTATCTTGGTGAGTCCAAAGTCTTGTACCTAATTTATTTTCTATTCTAATTTGCATTATCACAATTTCTTGTTATGTCTCTCAACTCTACATACTTTATGTTTATTTAGTGAGTTTCCTTTCTAAGTCTAGTAAACAAGGAAAACTATATTTAGTTTTCAACTTCCTCAGAGACCCGAGAAGGAAATATTAACTGAGTAACCAGGAAATGTAAGCAAGTGATTTCCAAAAAAAAAAGTGTGAGAAATGACAAAAACAGCTGCTGCCTGGACAGTCACCTGAGGTTCTTCTGCAACATTGGGGCATCCAACTTTGGCCTACAAGCCTAGCATATCTGACAGACAGTTCTGTGAAGCAGGATTTTCTGGAGGGCTGTCCAGCCTTGTCTTGTGTCAGGTTTTTGTGTATGTGTGTGTGTGTCCTGTTTGTTCAGTTTGGACAGCATACTGTCAGCAGTCGAGGCAAGGGCACTTTCTTGCCCAGTGGCTACTTTTGCCACAAAGAAGTAAACTCCATGTGGAGTTTCTTCAATGCCCATCATCTCTGAAGAAGATCAGTGATGCCAGGAGCAGACATGTCTCATTGTCATAAAAAATACCTGTTATTAAAACATCTTAAGTGCCATATTCATTAGATCTCCCAAGTGTTTGAAGACCTATCTTTCGAAAATATATATTTAACCTTGTTAATGTGGCTACAAGTTCAATTGCAATAGGTGACTAATTTTTTTTTTTTTTTTTTTTTGGTTTTTTTGAGACAGGGTTTCTCTGTGGCTTTGGCTTTGGAGGCTGTCCTGGAACTAGCTCTTGTAGACCAGGCTGGTCTCGAACTCACAGAGATCTGCCTGCCTCTGCCTCTGCCTCTCGAATGCTGGGATTAAAGGCATGCGCCTCCACCACCTGGCTGGTGATTAATTACTAACCTACATTTCCTTATTATATAGTTTGTAATAACTTCCAAGGACTAGAAATTCGCATTACATTGTTATATGAACTGTATAAGTACAATATCTTGAACAATATTAGAAATGTATGTACACTGTTTTAACAAATTTATCTCGAATTTATACCAATATATAGAATTTGTGTACAATATACAAAAGTTCGATCCAGTATAAAATATTTAGAACTAGCAGTAGCTTTTTAAAAATAGATTCAATAATCTACCTTTTTATCTTATATCTATATTCTTCCCTTTTTTCTTTTCACAGTAGAATCAATAATCCACCCTTTTAACCTA